GAGTCTCCACACTTCGGAAGAGCAGTGAAATCCTGATCCGGCCGAACCCAATGCCACCGTCAAGAGGGTACCATCTAGTGGCTTGGGAACTAGTGGTGAGGATGTCCGACAGGCGCAGAGGTACAATACCCAAGATTGGGTCGTGTTCTCGGTTACGCTGATCACGAACGGTGATTGTGACTATTCCGGATCTCCAGTCTCGCATAAAGCGCTCCGTACCAGCATTGAAGATAGGTTTGCTGCTAACAGCCTTGGCTCGAGTGCGGTAGACCAATGTATCATTGAACAGGATGGTACAATAAGAGGTCGGGAGTTCTGACATTGGGTCAGTGCGAGGAAACAAAAGAATCTTGAACTAGACACTTACTGGTGGACTCTTCATCTGTACCCTCACCGTATGGTTTGGCCGGCTCAAATTCTTTACCTTTCCGATTGCCGTCGCTGCCCTTGATGTTCTCAAGTTCGAGGCTGACAATCTGGTGGATGACGACGCTGCAAATGCCACTCGGCCACAACGGATCAGGAGGCGTATGCGCCACAGCATCCGCATCTTCAGAGTCAATGACACCCTTCTCATCTTGGAGCTTTTCATCGTTCTTAAGCTTTTCCGGTAGGTTTCTGTCTTTGCCGTCGGTGCGAAGGGCAGGTCGAAATTTGGGCTTGCCAAAGTAGCCCACTTCCCAGTGTAGCTCACCCGGCATCTCACTTCCATGATGAGTGCCTGCGAGTTTTGAGATCTGAGGATACATTTTGCCAGGATGCTGAATCATTTTCTGCATGGACAACTCCACTTTTCCGACCATGTCATCTGCAGAATTGCGGTCTGAGTCCCACAACTCGACACTGAGTTGTTCATCGGCCTTGATGAGCTCAGGCGTCACCAGAAGAGCAGCGGTTTCTTCCCAAACAGGGTTGAGGTCATCTATGATGACACGAGTACAATACATCGGCTTTCCGTATTTCGAAAAGGACAGATTAATGTATGGGTCGCTTCCACCGTCCTTGCTACCACGACGATCTTGCCTGCTGAGGCCAATGGCGCGATGGATTCGGATCCACATGACTCCCATGGCTTGTGTATCTTTGGTGATGTCGTCTCCTTGCAGCATGGATTTTAAATCAAGTTGCATCGACTTTGGCGCAACGTACATACTTGCCGCCGCGGCGATTGCATAATTGACGAAGTTTGAAATCAATGGCAGGTTGAGGATATTAACTCCTTTCTGAACCATGGGAATGCAACCTGCTTGGACATGTGGGACGCCCATCAGCGTGAAGGTAAGACTTTTTGCAAATGGTGGTTCGGGTGTCATCTGCAATCGCAGGCGGACGGTCCCGACAAGCTCTTGGAGTTCGACAAAGACAGGCAAGGGGACACCGATCAGCCCCTTGATGCCGACATAGAAGACGAGATTCATGTGCATATTCCGTGCTCTTGAGGAAGCAGAGGCACGGTCACCGGTGGGTTTGGCGTGGTATGCAAAAGCAATCTCGAGGTTGTAATAGTCGCCGCCTTCCTCGTCGGCTGCCGCTTCTTGTGGGTCCTTCGCCTTTTTATTCTCTTCATTGATGCTCTTCTTGAGCTCGTGCATTTTTGAATCAGGCAGTGCCCGCAGACTGAGGATGCGAATAGGGTTGCTGCCTTGGTCTATTTCGGCAACTCTAACATTGTTGATGACTCTAGGGACAGAGGCTTGCATGACATCTTCCAGGGTGTCTGCCACGGCAGCAAACATATCCGGGTTGATCAAACCCCAAACGACGCTCAGGAAGGTGTTCATCCATTCGACTGATTCAGGCAGGAGGTTTGCTACGGCCTGTCAATATTAGCTGTGGTCTACGTGTGGCAGGTGGATGCAAAGTCTCACGGTCTCTCCTCTGCTTTGCTCACTGCTCCATTCCGCCTCACGGCCGCTTCGTACAACCTCTTTCATCCACAGCCAGACGGCGGAAGCGAGAAACATGCCGAGAGGAATCAGCCCCTTAAGAGAGCCACCGAACATTTTCCCAAAGACGACAATGGAGATGAGAATCACAATACATAGACCCCCAGCCCGGTTTTCAAGAAGTTCAAACATCGGCTCATAACTGACTGACGGCGTTGGATGGAACAGAATATTGGTCTTTTCTCCGTGAATGGGGACGTCGGAAGTGCTGTCTTCGGCGACTGGGTCTGGAGGAGCAGTGACGTCCTGCTTCTCCATGTACTCTGGGTTCTTCTGGGAAGGTTCTGTTGAAACCGTGGTAGGTCTGCCCAGATTGGCATTTGGCACCGACAGCTAAGTCAAGGTCAATTGAGACCCGGTTGTTCAGGGAAGTTGTATTCAAACCTGGGGATTGTCGGCCCTCGCCATGTACACCTTGCCTACATCTGCAATGACGACACGGTTACCAGTGACTGGATCTGTCACAGTTTTGCCCTCTTGCTTTTGATTTTCATTCTTGTGCGGAGTGATTTCAGAGGAATATTGCTGGGCTTCCCCTGCGAGTCTCTGTGCATCAATGGCTTTGTCTCTCTCGGACTTGTCCTTATCGAGCTTTGCAACAAACTCCTTGATGTTGGGGATACGATTTGTGCCGCTCCATGGCTTTCCTGACTTCTGTTGCTGAGCTTCCATGGTCACCTCTAGAGCAAGGGACAAGCCCCCAAGGACAGGGGTCGATTTGAAAAGGAGGTAGAAGGGATGAGGGAAAGGCCAGCCGGGCTATTTAGTATTGCTCGTGACGAGCCCCTGGGAATGAAGAAAGGAACAAATCTGAGGGAAACAAAGGAAGATGTTAAGGGACTGAAGAACAGCCAGGCCGGAGAGGTCGTTCCATTGTGAATTTTGAGAATGATGTCTATCCAGATCAGTAGTGACGTAACAGCACTACCAGACCCACTGCCCACAACCCAGTTCGCCCCTCGCCGTGCTGGATGCGGATAACAAAGGCGTGTGTGGCTTGCCTCGAGCATGAAATGACCCAAACAATGAGTTAATACTGGGCTTGCCCGGGGCTGGGCTCGCTGGGCATCGGCAGAGTTTAATTAGGCGAAAGGTCGTCGCTTAGCTGGCGATCAAGATCCAGAGGGCTAACGCTATCGTCAGCCAACACCCAGAAATCCTGGAACTTGCAGAAACCTAACCAGCGGAAGCCCGCAACTGTCGAACTGGAGGAGCAGCCAACTTGAGGCTGAAGGTGTCGGCTCTGTTGACACTGTTATCTGACTTTGAGTCTACCTCGATCTGCGTAGTACGGCCGGTGTTACCGCCATCTGCTCGTCATTCCTTGTCATTGTTGACACCTCCAGTTGTTCAACACTCCCATTACGTCCTTGTCCATACTTTGCTTCCCTCGATCCACGTCTCCAGAACAATCCCCTCATGGTCCAGAATGGCGAAGTCGGCGCGTCGACCAGGTTCGAGCCTTCCTCTCTTGCTCTCGCCCATCATATCTGCAATGTTTTCCGTGACACATTGCACGGCTTCGGCAAGATTGCACCTGGTAAATGCCACCGCATTCCGTATGCACTCGTCCAGCGTACAGCAACCACCAATCAACGTATCTGTGCCTTCAATGGTCACTTTGTTACCCTGTTTAAGTTGCCGTTGTGCAATCTGGCCATGTCCACTGTGTACGCCATCCGGTAAGCCAGCGAGTTCGATGCTGTCCGTGATGAAGATACATTTCCTTGGATCGGTCCGCATGCAAAGAGTTACAAGTGAGGGGTGCAAGTGTATGCCGTCCGGTATGATCGAGTAATAGCACTTCCCAGTCCCCATCAGCCCAGCGAGTCCAGGATTGCGATGATGCAGAGCCAACATTCCATTAAAGACATGCGTCAATGCTCGGGCACCCAGTTGTAAAGCCGCGAGACCCTCCTCGTACGTGGCCGCCGTATGTCCAAGTGAGATGACAATATGAGGATATTCTTCTTGCAGCTGGCCCACCAGCGCGGTCGAGCCGGGCAGCTCCGGTGCCAGTGTGATCAGCTTGATTGCATCTTTGAGATTGTCGTCGCCATATAAGATCTGCGGGGATATTTTCGCCGGCTCTTGGAGGTAGGCGGCACTATGGGCTCCTTTCTTCGAGGCATTCAGATACGGCCCCTCGACGTGTGCTCCCAGCAAGTCGGCCCCAGAGACAAATGTTCGTGGTTTCAAGACTGGCACTATCTAGATGAAGGCTTCAGCATGTCGGTGAAAATAAACCGGTGAGCCTTCCAGGGAATTCATAGGTTAGAGGAAACAGAATCAGCCTACCTGTTTCCACCGGTCCTTGTCTACCGTAGGGACAGTCGCCCACCAGCCTGTCACCCCGTGACAGACTTCCATCTTACTGACTTCTCCCAACCTGCGTTCGTCGTCCCCTGGAGCATTGCCTAGGGCCAATTGCGTAAAATGGACACCCTTCATGCCGTTTGTCTGCAAGTCTAAAAACCCTGGTGCAACAACTTTACCATCTAGGTCTATTCGCTCAACGCCTTCTTGCCGATAGTAGTAGTTTGGCGTGATGGTGCCCTGCTCAGTGCTGAAGTAAAGATCTTGAGCCACCAGTTCGCCGGAGATACAAAGCAGGCAGTTGGTGAAACATTTCAGCGATCTGTCCATCGTTGGCAGCGCGATTGGAAGTGGGAGATAGACTGATCGAATCACCAAGGCCTATGAAACTCGGAAAAAGAAGTGAGGCGAGGAAGGTGCTGCGAGTTTTCAGATTTCCTACAGAGAAAATCGTTGAAGTGTCTCAAAAGCCGCGCAAACGTTTCTGCAAGGCGCTAAAACGAGCTGGCGGGTTCATCGTTCCCCGTCTCTCTAATTGTTTCGACATAAACACAAGAATTCTTCTTTCTTTCCCTCTTTCTTTCTGTAAGACTATTTTGATAGTCATTTCATAAATACAGATCTTTTGAGGCGCGACTCTTCAGCCATTTGAACAATCATCAGCCTGATCACCTTCCTCGTCAGCCCTTTCCCTATCCTGAGCCACATCTGCCTCTGGACATCTCCCCGGCCCTTCCGTTAGAGGTCTTCGGTCTCCTTTGATATCTTGAGACTCTCTCTCCGAACTAGCTTGACTCGGTGTCGATAGCTCTAGGGTCCATTCCCATCTCCTTCGCTTACGCTTCGACCTCGCTGCTGATTTGCTCTGGGATTTTTCTGAGCTGGCTTGGTCTAGTTCAGACGAGGACGAAGGGGACACCGCCGTAGACTTCCGCTTTCTTTTCTTACGCGGCGAGACTTCATCCACGCGGATTTCCCGGCCATTGCCACCGCCATCTTCTCCCTCATCGTTGGAGGTTCCACTTTGGTTGTCATTCTCAGAAGGAGTAGATTCCTCATCGGATGAACTCAAGTCTGCGTGGCGCATAATGTAATTCTTCGTGACAATCTCTTCCTCCAATTCTGCGCGAAAAGCAACCTTCTTGGGTGCTGGGAAAAACACTCGCCGACTAGCTACTCGGGGGCTTGCGCTGACGGAAGGGCGGCGAATATCCCAGGGAAGTGGACTATTCTTCAATATTGAATGGACTCCAAAGGGCAAATTTAGGGCGTAAGGGTGCTCTGATAACCTCACAATTGGGGAAGTTGGATGTGCGCTGCCTCTTGGTTGCGAATGTGATACCGGTGATGGAAGATTGGTTACTGGTGACGGTCTGTATGCAAGATCGAATGTATTGCTGAATGTGTTTAGCGTAGTTGGGGTTGCGGTGGCGCCTATATTAATGCCATTTTGACGACCGGTCGAGCCACGAAATGTAGGAGCGAGATCAGAAGTCCTTAGCGACAGCTTCGGTTTCTTCGCCGGTGAGGGAGGATTGACAGGCCGGGCATTTTCTGTCGGGAACATCGATAATGGATGAATCGGGTCGAGGCGAGATAAAAGATGTGGCATAGGCAGAGCCATAGATATGGCAAGCATTTTGCTTTCGGCAGTGGCCTCTGACACTGCTGAAGGCCCACTCATCAAATCGAGAATGTCGTTTTTCTCCCACTAAACTCCTCGTGTATGCCCGTGGTTCTTATGGCCGGGTCAAGTGGATAGGAGAATCTAGCGAGAGGGCTTTTATTCGAGATCGGGGGATGGTCGCGGGAGGTGCATAAGCACGTAAAGGGGTGAGCACGATTCGAGATCGTCAGAGCCTTCCTATTAGTATCTTGGGCACTGAGTCGCCCTAGTTAAAACAGAAGGCGTAATCAGGGCGCCGCTGAGCCTCACATAAGCATCACGACACGTATGAAGAAAATATAGGCAGCACTGTTTAAAGAAAATTGACTCAGATCGCCGGGCATAGGCAGCTGATATGCTGGAGGCGTTTAAAGGGACAAAAGGTGGTGAGTACCCACCGCGTAATCCGGGCACGTAGTCCACGAAACAAAGATGTTCCCATATTTGCCGTTATTGCCCAGCTACGGAAATCCATGCTGGCAAATCCTAGAGTATTTGGGACCTTTTCCTGCTCTTTCAGGCATCGAACGGACCTGCTGTCCTGTCCAGGCCCGTTGACTAGGTGCTGGCGGTTAGGTGTGTCTTGGAGGGAACGGAAGAAAAGGGTGTGGCTTGATTGTTGGGCCAGAGGAAGAGCTGGGGAAGGATAGGGCTGGTGCTCCTGAGTGCGCGCATTAGCTTGCAGAGTCGGGGCGCTTCGTCTTGGCCAAAGAGCAGGATCAGCAGGATTCAGGAACAATGCTAGGATGATGCTAGAGGAGATCAGGCAAAACGTGGCCTCGATCGCATATCCGCAACCGCTGGACTCTATTTTCAGCATCGAGCTGCCCGAAGTAGCGGGGATGGGGAAGAGGCCAGCGAGGCCAGTGAGGCCAAAATGGACGGGCTGAGCGATGTTATTGGGGTAACAATCAAGGGGCAGACGGCCATATGGATGGGGTGACGGGGATTCAGAAATAGGCGAGAGAACGAGTTGGTTGAAAATAGACGACTCCAGTCAGCATCGTGCAAGTTGTCCTTCTGATGCGTGTGAGCTGCCAAGCGGCCCAGCCCGCGGCGCCCACGCAATCTAACCGGAAGATTGTGGCTCCAGCTCCGAGGTTATGGGTGACGGAATTGGGCAGCATTTCGGCCTCGCCTTTGGGTATGTACTGGGTACGATACGGCTGAGCCACTCCTGCGTCCGCCCACCCTTGGACAGCCTTTCTCTCATCAAAACTCATCAAGTTCCGTTCCCATCTAGAACCTAGTAGACCTTGCGTCTAATTGCTTAAATCGTGATATCTCCGATGGGCAGCCAATGCGAAGGCGGGAATGGCGTTTTCACAGATCTCGCACCACTCCAGTTGCTGGCTCTTGCCATCTTCAGAGTCCCAGTCATCTTCTACCGAAATGTCAGTGGTTGATTCTGCCATCATGTCATCGAGCGACTGAGCAGCTGGACGATCCGGAATCGCCGACCCGGTGTCGTTCACTTCCTCTGAAGGGGCAGTCACTCTGAATTCCTTGAGAATTTCGTCCTGTCGCCTCAACATTCTTCCAATGTCTCGCCCTTTGCTTTCTTTCGTTTCAGTTGCTGTTTCTGCCATGTTCGTGGCAGCAACATTGATCAAGCTGAGATTCCAGCTGGCCTGTTCATGGTGCAGTTTTCGAAACATTGGAACGAGGGCTTCCTCGACTAGACGAAGGGCGAGTGTAGAAGGTGTCTCGTTCAAATTGAAGACGAAGTTCGGCATGGGTCCTGAGCGAGAGATACGCTGAAATGCCCTTGCCCGTCCTCCATCCGGGGTAGGCAGTGGACGAGGTCTTGTAGACAGCCGCAGAGTTCGTGGATGTGCCATCCATCGACGGCGCAAGGTCTCGCAATCATCCATTCCACCACCGTCGTCGTCCTCTAATAGATCCATTTGCATACGCCGAATCAATCTCTCGCCCAAGATGTGGAGCTGTTTCTTGACCTCTTCAAATGTATGTAGGTACTTCATATACGAATCCTCCTGACTTATTTGTGAGGGGACACGCCTCCCTTTCGCGACCTCCGTGTCGTCCATCCCATGAAGCAGATCCCATATCTTACCACCAATACCTTTGGACGAGCCTGGGCCCGCTAGAATTTCATCGAGCAGCTTAGGACCCATGCCTGGATAGGAACGAACATCGAAAACGGTCACCAATTCCTTCGTGCCTCCGTACGTCAGACCTTCAGAGAAAGCCGCCTCTCGATCCAGCACATGCGCACGGATCTTCTGAGCCAGCTTGAATCCAATGCCAGGAATCTTTCCTATGTCATGGTCATCAAGGAATCGGATAACAGTGCTCTCGTAACCGCCCATCGACTCACTGGGTGGCAAGATTGTTGTTTGATTTTTCGGTTTATTCACATTTCCAGCCAACTTCGCCAACAACTTGTTCATAGCGACTCCGACAGTGGATGTATAGCCCTTCTGAGACTCCAACTCGTGTCGGAGATGCCTTGCCAGATGACTCCCAAGCACAAAGCGAAGTCGCAATTCTTCATCCTGCTCCGAGAGCTGGGTAGAGGGGCAGGGACTCGACGGATAAGTAGGGCCATACACTTTGGATGCGTCGTATGCGAAGCCTATGGTAGGATCGTCCTTGTTCATGCAGAAGAAGGAATGAGAAAGGTCGTTGAGATTGAGCAAACCGATGTTGTAGTCTATCATATCGGTGCAGTCGAGCCTACAGCTATGTCAGCTGACTACATACAATTTTGCCGACGGTGGCATACCAGACTTCATCAAAACCAAGTCGTTCTGCTCTCCCGCTCCAGATAGACTGCCGGAGGAAATTGTACAGATCCTTTGAAGCATCACGAAAACGAGTCAAGTCCTCACCCAGGACGATCACCGCCTCTGGACACACTTTTCTGGCTTCGGTGATAAGCTGTAGTTTCCGTAGACCTCGTCGCCGTGCCTCATAGTTACAAGTCACCACAATCTGCTTTTGTTGGATGGCTAGTGGCACTGATTTGAGCGCCGGATTCTCATTTTCGACGACTGAGGCGTAGAAACAATCGTAGTCAAAATGAATAATGACTCTGTGCAAGACACGAGCTCTCTGCATATTAATGTCAAGACCATGATGGCCTAGGCCAATGCTTGCGAGAGACCACGGCTATGGCCTCAGTTGACCGATGTGGGGGGACGTGGAAGGAGAGACGAGGGATCAGTTCAAGTGCAGTCATCAGTGGTTGGCGGCCACTTTGACCGTGACCCGTGCGGAGGGAATTCCCAGTCGCGTCCAATAAGTCGGTCGCGTCCCCTTGGTCCCCTTCGGTAAACAATTGCTTTCCCTTCCTCAACTATTTCACTCTACATAACAAGTACATTTTTCATGTTGCGTCAAAGGCAGTCCAGGTGACGGAAGGCGCATCTGCCCTCACTTCGAGCAGGGTCAATGTCGCAAGGAAATCCCACTTTCCCAGGCCGAAATCTTTATGCGTCCTCGAGTAAGCTCCCTGATCGCACGGCGCAAAAGCCTGGCATCACGCTACCCTCGCAACAATACCCCCAGTCGACGTTTGGACGACGCTCCGAGCAACAATATCAACTTGGACAGACTGCAGCGCCACAACCGCAGCATGGCGTGCTGGCCGGGAGACAGAGCATGGAGAAGGAATCGAATGCGCTCGGCGAATTGAGCGAGGAACAAAGAGATGAAATCAATGAAGCCGTACGCACCGTGTTTCTTAGATATCCGCTGTCTGATGCTAACTTGTCGACGAGCAGTTCTCCTTGTTCGATCTCGATCGGGATCGGCACCTGGACTACCACGAAGTCCGCGTGGCAATGAGGTCCCTAGGGTTCTCGGTGCCGAAACCTGAAGTCGCGCAGATAATGCAATCGCAAGGCGTACCAAAGCCACAATTCAAGAGAGGGCCTCCTGTCAAAGGACAACAGACATATCACTCCAGTCAGCTCCTTCTACCACAAAACGCGTTCCAGCGCGTAGCAGCGCAAAAGATATTCGAACGCGATCCCACGGAAGAAGTCGAACGGGCCCTGCTGTTGTTCGATCCCGACCAGAGAGGATACATTGAAGTCGACGACATTCGCAGAGTCGCTCGGGAACTGGGTGAGACTGGTCTCGAGGATGAAGAAATACAAGCCATGGTGGAAGAGTTTGATTATGACGGGACAGGGAGCGTTGCAAAAGAGGCCTTTTATGCCATTTGTCTGCAATGAGCGTTTCCGACTGACTGTGTTTGACGAAATGATGATATTCCATGATGAGAACGACTTGGTTGGAATTGGCGGCGTCTACCTCGGAATCATTGGAGACATTCCAGCTGTCGTAAATCTAATCAAGCTATTGGTTTTTATGTCTCGGCCTCGACACATAATATCCATGAGGCCATCAGAATATGTCCCAGAAGTTGGGTGAAAACGCTTCTGCTCTGTACCTCTCGCCACCGACATGAGATTAAGCCTATCTTACCTAGATACAATCTTCGCAGTCCGGTATTGAGTCTCTAGGCTCGCCATATATACAACCACCGGCCCATCATACTAAGTCTTCCGCCGACCAATTCCTCCAACTCTTGACGAAGCCTCGACAAATGACTTCCAGGGCGCTGGCGCATCGCCTTGCAACGACAATCCCTTGGCAGTTCACCTTCTCATGCGGACATACGAAGGGGCCACAGATGGGCTTGGGCCTGTCATCCAGCTCAGGGCAGAGGCCGTGCATCACAACCTCAGAGCACGAAGCAGCCGCATGCTGCAGGTTCGATTCCGTCGCGCGACTGGGGCATGACATGTTTGGGATCCTATGGGATACGCGGGTGCGCGGTAGTCTGGCAAGAGTGACTGAGGGTCTCGCGCAATTTGGAGAGGGGACTGGCCGTTAATGAAACACAGTTGGAAGTTGGAGGCATGGGGATGAGGTGCGTAAATCTACTAGCCTTTGTAGTAAACAGGGGTCGGGGATCTGAAGAATGAGGGGGCAAAGTAGCTGGGACACAATCACCCAGTGCTCTGCGCAGGTCTGCTTTGATGCTCTGCTGTGATATGAATTCACATAAAAGCACATAAAAGCCCCGTGTTATTGTGAAGAAAAACATTTTTCTGGATCTCGATTGCTGCGAAAAGTTGGCTATATAGTCTCCGCTGACCTACCTCCCAAAAAGCTAAGATCCAACGAAGAAATTCAAGTTCCCGAGGGTATATCTGTCACATTTAATTCTTCGCCACCCTATCTATCTCTCCCTCACTTCTTCTTCGACGTCCTGACCGTCTCAATGATCCTGTCAACCACACTTGGGTCGCTGAGTGTCGTGGTGTCTCCAAGGCTGTCTTGCTCGCCGCTCAAGATCTTTCTCAAAATCCTTCTCATGATCTTGCCGGAACGGGTCTTGGGGAGATCGTCAACAACGAATATGGCCTTTGGCGCTGCAAACGGACCAATAGACTTGCGCACTTGGAGGATGAGGTCTTTGCGTGTCTGTTCACCGCTATCAACGCCATCCTTGAGCGACACAAATGCGTTGACGGCTTGGCCAGTGAGTTCGTCGTTGATGCCGACCACGGCAGCTTCTGCAACACCTTCATGCTCGATCAGAGCAGCCTCAATTTCTGCGGTGGACAAGCGATGTCCGGAGACATTGACAACGTCGTCGACACGACCCCGGATCCAGTAATAACCTTCATGGTCACGTCCAGCGCCGTCACCAGTGAACTATTGTCAATGTCAGTCAATTGTTCCCTTGGTGATGCCGAGAGGAGACTTACGTAGTAACCCTTGTACACGTTCAAGTAGGTGTCCATATATCTCTGGTGTGCACCCCAAACAGTTCGTGCCATACTCGGCCACGGTTGCTTGAATGCTAGAACACCTTCAACATCATTGCCCTCGATTTCCTTACCGGAGACCGGATCAATGATGGCGGGTTCAATACCGAAGAAAGGCAGTGAAGCACTGCCGGGCTTGGTCGGCGTTACACCGGCCAGCGGTGTAATCACATGAGAGCCAGTCTCGGTTTGCCAATAGGTATCAACAATATGAGCCTCTTCCTTGCCGACAGCTTCGAAATACCACTTCCAGACTTCGGCTGCGATGGGCTCACCGACCGAGCCCAAAACTCGCAACTTGTGCAGTTGATGGTGGATATGCTCATCACCAGCTCTCTTCAACAGGCGGAGGGCAGTCGGGGCGACATAGAACTGCGTCACGCTGTGCTTGTCGATTACGTCCCAGTAGCGGGAGAAGTTGGGATAAGCTGGTGTGCCCTCAAAAACGACCGTCGCGACACCGAGGAGGAGGGGTGCGTATACGACATAGGTATGGCCGGTAATCCAGCCGACATCGCCACCGCAGAAGAAGACGTCATCGTCGTGGATATCGAAAACGTACTTGCCGGTCGCTGCAGCGCCAATCAGGTACCCTGCGGTTGAGTGCATGACGCCCTTGGGCTTGCCAGTCGAGCCCGATGTGTACAGCAGGAACAGCGGATCCTCAGAGGCCATAGACTCAGGCGGAATATAGGCGGGGTACTTCGCGGTTTCTTCGTGCCACCAGTAGTCTCGGCCTTTTGTCCAGGGTACATCCGCCCCTGTTCTCTGGTAGACGAGCACGTGAGTGACACCTGGGCACTTCTTGAGGGCTTCATCCACAATCTTCTTGGTGCCAATCAGTTTGCCGCCTCGTTTTCCTTCGTCGGTGGTGATGACGACCTTGGAGTTGGCGTCAATGATCCGGTCCGCTAGTGAGCCGGACGAGAAACCGGCGAACACAACCGAGTGTACGGCACCAATACGAGTAACGGCGAGGAAGGAAATGACCGCTTCGGGAATCATGGGGAGGTAGAGCGCAACGGTGTCGCCTTTCCTGACACCCATCTGTTTCAGGGTGTAGGCAACTCGAGACACTTCGCGGAGGAGCTCGCCGTAGGTGAGTACGCGGCCCTCGCCTGGCTCATCTGCTTCGTAAATCACAGCAGGCTTGTCGGGATTTTTAATGGCATGGCGATCAATGCAGTTATAGCTGGCGTTAAGACGACCTTCTAAGAACCAGGCGGCGTCGCCATTGGTAAAAGAGCCAGAGCGGACGGTTTTGAAGTCTTTGTCCCAGTCCAGAAGCTCTCGGGCCATCTTTCCCCAGAACTTATCCGGCTGCTCGATGGACTCCTTGTACATGGCATAGTATTCGTCGAGGTCCTTGATGTGGGCTTGGCCAGGGCCTTTCGTGAAAAAGGGCTTGGGAACACTGCAACTGGGTCAGTACGGCCAGCCGTGCTGAGGGTTTGGTATCCGTTATTTCGAAGCTTACTGGAAGGTGTCGACCTCGTGGGCTTCGGCCTGTGTCCTCGTGGTCAGCCCCAGAAACAGACCAACCCAACTCAGAGCGGAGGAAAGGAACCAAACGAAACTACTCACCACGACAGGGCCCTTCTTGGGAGGCTGGACGTCACCTTCAGACATATTGATCTCTGTGGACTGCTCGGCGACGTGTCTAGGGGGCTGAGGGGGAGGGGACAGCAAGAGCGTGACAGAAGAAGTCGAGCTCGGACAGACGTGAAGAGGGGAGTGGGTGGGTGTTTATATCGTCCCTGTGTCCTCCAAGTGCGCAACGTTGGAACTAGGGAACCAGGACCCGCATCGAGGGCGGGGAGATCAGGAGGTCTAATATAGGATAGCGCAGGGAGGCAGGACTCAACAAGAAGAAATGACGATTGAATGCAACACAGCAGACGATCAGAGCAGACGCACTGACACGGACGAGCGACGTGGAAGACGACAGCAGCTGTCGCTCCCGCCCACCCTCCCCCGCAGCGGCGAAAGGCCACCCCAAGCAGTGTTTCAAGCAAACGAGTTGCCCAAAAATCCCAAGGTCTCCCGCAAGCCCTGCTTCTCAGATGCCGTCTGACGAAATCAGATGCAAATCCTCGCGAATCCTCGCGCGGATGGGGAAGGCTGGCGCTGTTTCGATTGGGTTTCCGGGCCAGCATTGGCTGTTCCTCGATGCCCGCGCCAATCCGGAGTACATCCCCCTTGCCCCTTGCCCCTTGCCCCTCCATTTTCCTTTTATCCGTTGCGGATGGCAATGCTGATACTACGGAGCGAGTCACGACGCCCAGGTTGAAAAGTCTTGGGTCCTGGACAATGGCTAAGGGCGATCCCCCCAGTCTGTTTTGTCTCTCGTGCGCATCTTTGACTTCACCGAGTTTTCCAAGATCGAGGGATGCTTTTCATCGCATTGCCATACCAAGGAACCCAAGCCCATACCCCGCGGGGTCCCTCATGTACGGCGTCACGCGTTCTGTCGAGTTTGTCTCGGCCTTGCATCATCGCCCTTGGAGAATGACATCTGACTGTCTTGACCCTGACCCTGGACGTAGGGAATAATCGGTGCTCCAATGGCATCCCGAACAACTGGATTGCCCCGGCTAAGGCAAACGGCAGCGTGCAGCCTCCGAAAGTCTGCGCCCAGCCGAGAGAAGTCCTCTGGGCAGCCCCAGTAGAATTAAATCCATGCCATGGACATCCCTTTTACGGTCCATTCGCGATCTAGATGCCGCGATGTCCCACTCGTTTGAGCCAAGCTTGTGGTGTGATGCTTCCGCCCAACTGTTCGCCCAGCCACCAGAACAAACTGGAAGGCGTGAATTCGGGGACCTGGCGCAAAGCTTTGAAAAGCATCTCATCTGACAATAACTACATTGCCACACAACAACTGTAGTTTGTACAAGTATACGGAGTACTTCCACGTTCAGCTTCCTTTCATCCAGAACGCTAACCCCAGCATGAACACCATAATCGCGCCGTCCCCGATGAATTCCTTGCCCATTTGGATCCACAGCCTTATCCCGCTTTTGCCCGACTGGCCCTGAGATGCCGCTCTCGCGCCCTGGACCAATAATTCTCCGGTCATGAACACAATGAACGGGTTTTGGAAGGTTGCTGGTGCCGGCGGATTCTCACCATAGGTCTGAGTGGATTCGTGGATGCTGAACACCAAGTATAAGCCGGCCATCATGGCGAAAACAACATGCACGACTTTCCAGAAGCGTGTCGCTTGTATCTCGGCTGGATGAGGTGGCGCCCTCTGCCCTCCCATTACCATTTTGGTCAGAAAGGGAGGAATGCCTGTTGCTTTTGAGATGTCCTCGGGAGATAATCCGGAGCCGGCACCCATACCACCAGGTATGTTGGGATCTGTTGATCCGTCCATTCCCCCTACCATTGTCTGGAGAAACTTCAACATGGTGTCTTCCTGCTGTGCTTGGCTTTGTCCCTCTTGTGACAGCGGCTGTCTCAACATTGTCTTCAGATATTCCTCCTGCGCCCTAAGCTGTTCTGGAGTAGGCGAGGCACCAGATCCTGAGGTTGGTGGAGCGATCTGTTCCGGAGGAGGATATCTCGGGGGTAGTGTTGGCAGTGGAGATTCGTTTCGCACTGTAGATGGCACTGTTAATCTTCTTGTCCAGTCAATGTCCTGTTGTTGAAAGTCGCATCTCGCCTTCCGATATCCGAAATCTCTGTCGGGAGTGGAACTCACTGCTCTCTGGAGTCCTTCCACTCAGCCTTGTAATCTTGTCGAGTCTCTCCGTTGCTGAAGCCGTAATCTTCGCTTCACGCTTCTTTTGGCGAATGCGAACTTGTCGCTGCGCTGGCGTCTCTTCCATCTCCGCCATCTCCACGTTGTCCGCAGTGATTTACCTCTTGAGCGTGACTGCGAAGCCTCTTTCCGCGGTAGTTACAGGCGGATAAAGTGGTCCCTCGGCCTAAGAGCAGTCAGGGAAATTAAGTGATTGTGTCCGTTTTGCGTTTCGTAGTGATTAGGTTCAGTCTATGTTCTGGCGTAGATTTATGAAATCGTGACACATAAAAGGGTAAGTTGGGAGGCAGGCAACAGAGAGGAGCGTATGGTATGAGAGAAATGGATGTAGCTGCCCCTCAGGCTTCAGTTTCAGCCTTTTGACGACCTGGCCATTCCAAAGAAGACCACGACACTTTTGAGAAAACAGCACCAATGACGTACAAGGCACTGGGTGATTGGTCGTCAGCTTGGGAGTTGCATCTCGGTCATGTGATCATGACTTGGCAGCCTAAATCCAGAGATCGGCCGCCGCCCATTATAGCGGAGGCCAAATTCATCTCCATCCACCTCCTTTGAGGCGCGTTGATCTTCTTCTTATCCTTCTACTTGGTCGAAACGTACCTCGACCATATTCAGGCGCCGAGTCGTCGAGGTCTAAATCGATAAACTCTGTGCAGAGAGCTCTTCTGCCTGGGATCCTGGCCAGGCCGACTCGAATTCTTCGTCTCCTTGGGCGCGTCACGAATTTCCTAGAGCACTCTTATATCGCCAGTTTGATTTCTTCCGCTCTTTCTTGACTCCCTTATTCTTATCTTTCGCTTCCAAACATTGCGCAAAGACGCGCCTCGATACCCGCCAACATGTCTTTTGCCAGCGGCGGTGCATTCTCTTTCGGGTCGAACAACAATAATCAGAGCACCGGGTTTGGTGGTTTCGGCAGCAATACCAACGCAGGCACAGGTAAGTAAGAAGTTATGTCAACAGTGTGGCAAGGAGGGGATCTGATATTTTGCTTCTCGACTCAGGGTTCGGTACAAACACGAGCACTACTGGCTTTGGTTCCAGCACTGCGACTGCGAATCCATTTGGGAGCAGCACATTCGGATCTAACACTGGAGGTGTGTGAATCGTCAGTAACAGGCAGCAAGACTTCGCTTTTTGCGCTTCCGCATCTCCGTGCTGTCGCTTTATTTGTATTTTGGCCTTTGTCTTCCTGCTACCGCGATCTGGTTCACTTGTTGCATCAGCCATGTCTCGGTGGGCGAATTTGCAGCAGGCGTCCAAGCGGCGACAATCTCCAAACCCGCTTCGCTCACGTTGATGATACAGCTTCTTCATCTACTATGGAGACAAATAGACTAACAAGCGGTTTTCTAGGCTTCGGTGGCAATACAAACACGTCCGGCTCCCTCTTTGGCAACAAGCCTGCCTCAAATCCCTTCGGCTCGACAACCACGAATACAGGAGGTGGAATATTCGGTAGCTCAAACACCAATACTGGATTTGGTTCAGGAGGTGGTTTTGGAAGTACCAACAATGCTTTCGGTAGCAACACGGGCGGCACAGGGTTCAGCTTTGGCAGCGCATCAAAGCCGACCTTCGGTTCCAGCAACAACTCAACCCCCTTGTTTGGTCAAGGTGGTGCAGGAACCACAGGCGGGTTTGGATCTACTACATCAAGTCCCTTCGGCGCTGCTGGCAGCGGAACGGCTCTAGGCAACCAACCCGTCGCTCCGTCCGAAGGCACAGCTTCAACACCATATGCGCCCACACTCGAAAAAGAAGCTGCGGGCTTATCAAGCAACTACCAGAGTATCAACTTTATGCCACCTTACCAAAAATATTCGTTTGAAGAATTGCGTCTAGCAGATTACAACGCGGGCCGAAGATATGGGAACACCACCGGCCAGGCTGGTGGATTCGGTTCGAACACTTTTGGAGGCTTTGGATCAAGCAACACTGGCTTTGGCAGTAACACCAGCTCCACCCCTAACCCATTCGGATCTACGGCCGCGTCGTCGTCGGGCTTCGGCGCCAACACTGCCACATCCGGTTTTGGTGGTGGTGGCCTATTCGGAAATAAGCCCGCTGGGGGAGGGTTGTTTGGCACGCAGTCCACTGCTGCTCCTTCGACTGGTCTATTTGGAACCTCTAACACCGCGACAAATGCATTTGGCAGTGGAACCACGGGCTTTGGCTCGGGCGGCGGTCTCTTCGGTCAAAACCAAAACCAGAGTAAGCCCAGTTTGTTCGGTAACCCATCCAGCACCACGTCATCGTTCTCGTTCGGCAACACCAATACTGCCAACACGAACACAGGTACTGGCTTGTTTGGCAACAACACCAATACTTCGAACACAAGTGCATTCGGTGGCAATCAGCAACAATCTAGCGGATTGTTCGGGAACAACACCAATCAGCAGCAGAAGCCTTCGCTTTTTGGGAATACCAGCTTTGCGGCATCAGCAAATCAGAATCAACAATCAGGTGGCTTGTTTGGCAATACCAACAACACACCCACCAGCGGCGGCCTTTTCGGCAACACCACCAACACCAATACCAGTACCAGTGGTGGATTGTTCGGTACCAATAACAGCACCTCAGGTACTTCCCTCTTCGGAAACAATGCCGGCAACCAGCAGAAGCCTGGGGGTATTTTTGGCGGAAGCACATTTGGAAACACTAACACCAACACCGGCGGAGGCCTTTTTGGGAATACCAACAACCAACAGCAGTCAGGAGGCCTGTTCGGAAACACGAGTACAAATACAGGTTCAGGGTTTTCGTTCGGAAATACTGCCAGCAAACCTGCAGCAGGTTCCCTCTTCAACACCACCAACAACCAGCAGGGAGGCTTCGGTGGCTCAACCAGCGGCTTTGGAAGCATATTCGGCACTTCACAGAACAACCCACAGAACCAGCAGCAACCTGACTTCAAGGTCTCGTCCCTGAACGATCCGAATCCTTATGGTCAGACCTCTATCTGGACCGGACTCCCAGTGCCAACACCGGACAATTCGAAGCCACTTTTCACTCCATTGTCCGCCACCCAGAAACTGAAGGAAAGCCAATCAAAGCCACCACCGAGCCTCAGACTCAACCAGTCTCGTTACATGACGCCACCCCGACGTTCTGGTTTTGGATTCTCTTATTCGACTTATGGCACACCTAATAGTGCAGCCAGCACACCTGGTGGGAGTGGTTTGAGCAGCAGCATGTACGGCAGTCGGAGTTTCAATGGCGGCAGCTTCGGTCGCTCGTTTGGTAAGAGTGCATCTGCCAGCAATTTGAGGTCCCAGTTTACAGTAGATGGCGAGGGCGTGCTTAGCCCCAATGCATTCGCTTCCACCAATACCAGATGGTCAAGTGGCAATATGCGCCGACTGACCATTGATCGAAGCATCAGAAACGATCTTTTCAGCCGACCTTCCCTCCCCGCATTCCCGACAAACACTCTTGATCGGTCAGTCAATGGGAACAACGAGGTTTCCGTTGTCGCAAATGGCGAATCGTTATCAGCCAGCGAACCGACGAACAAGTTGAAGAAGCGTGTGAGTTTTGACAAGGATACCGCTGGCGGATCGAACGGGGTCTTGAATGGTGAATCCGGAGCTTTGGTGAGGACCGAGAATGACCGAGATGAGGTTGATGGGATTCCTGCTGGCTCTGCTGTGAATGATACACCTACATCTGAGGTCGAACCAGTTCGCGGTAATGAACTAGCTGTTGTTCCAGAAGATCGCGAGTCCGACGACGTTATCTCCAGGAAGACGACTGTCCAAGCCAAGCCAGATCCTCAGCCCGGGGACTACTGGATGAAACCCACTCGTGCCGAACTAAGCAAGATGCCTCGTGAGAAGCTGTCGCGATTTGTTGGTTTTGAGGTTGGTCGAAAGGGATGTGGTAAGGTTGTGTTCAACGGTCCAGTGGATCTTACGAGTCTTCCCTTAGACGATCTTTACGAGAAGATTGTGGAAATCCGTCTGCGGTCAGTCACCGTCTATCCTGATGCCAGTTCTAAGCCACCAGTCGGCAAGGGTTTGAACGTACCGTCGACGATTTCGATCGAGAACTCCTGGCCGAGATCCCGTGGTCAGCCCTCTTCCGCCACAAGTGGACCGATCTTCGACAAGCATGTCAATCGCCTCAAGAAGATGCATGGCACTGAATTTGTGAATTACGAAGTGACCACAGGTGTATGGACGTTCCGAGTACCTCACTACACCCGCTACGGATTGGACTATGATGACGATGAAATGGGCCAGAGTCTGCTGTCAGCCCCACCGGACTCACTGAACAGCTCCCTATCTACAGAGAACTCGGGAATGGATGTTGACAGTGAAGCACATGATGATTACGACGTTGACGGCGACGATGATACGTTTGCCTTCAAACAAAAGACCCTGCCCGGTGGCTACGGTCGACAATCCATCGTCGATTACCACAATGATGTTCCCGCGGCTCAGGCTACTGAAGAAAGTGCAATGGGTTCTGAGATGGAAGAAGACTACTCCGACGATGAAAATGATAATGAAGTGAGCATGGTGGGCTCATATCCTCCACCCACTGCTAGCCCTAATAAACCAATCCTCAAGCACAGCACTATGGGCACGCCCGGAAAAGCCCTCATCAACATTGACGGCGACTGGGCGGAACAGCTCCAACGCACTATCAGCCCACGCAAACAGAACCGCGATGCACTCCGACAAGTACAGAGCAAAATCCTTCTCGACCGCACATACGAACCTATGAGGCCTAGTCTTGACTTCAAGCCCGTCAACAAGACTGAATTTCGCACGAGCATCGACATAATGAATTCGCTTTTCAGCAGACACGAGGAAAGAATGGCACAATTGAAAGGAAAGAAGGGGAAGTCGGAGGCTGGACCAGATTTTGAGGTTTGATTTCCCTCTCCTTGCCCTCCTCCCTCTTCTTTTTTGGCCTCCTGTCCTTCTGGATCTTGTGGCCGTGATCAGTCGGACTTTCATGACATGGAAGGAAGGACGTGATATTCCAGATTGTCGCACAATGTCCATGGTTCAGGGCACAGGTCACGGTCACCAATAGCATATATATGTAGGTAGTTTAAGGAGATACACGTTTGCTGAAACATTTCTTGTTCTAGTTCCCATATGCAAAGCGCGCGAAGACGTTCGAAGATCAAATACGAGATGAATCCACCCAAATGGGTGAAAACGATAAGCTCTGGCGTGCAAGTTTCAAGCCTCATTTTACGTCGATAAATCAGCTTGTCTACAAGTCGGTTGACGCACCTAATGAGAGTGATTGGACAACGGAGGTGCTGGCACATAGCGGAACTACGGGCAGGAATGTTGTTATATCTTCGCTCCGGACAGTCACCATTGAAAACGTACGGGAAGGTCAGGGCTGCTAAAGAGTCGCCAGAGTCGCTAACAATGTTCTTCAGGTCGCTATGTACGTCAAGTCTATGTTGACGGACGCTCAGGTGCTGCTCGCCGAGAATGTTCCCTGGATCAAACACGAAGCCGTCGCCTTTTCTCAAATTAGAGATCACCTCGTGCAGCATCGTATTGCTGCCGGGGAACTCGACATCTACGAACTACTTCATGTCCTTTTCGATGACTACGAGGACGAGTTCACCCTAGGTCTAAACCGCCAACAACAACAGGAATTCCAGTCGCGAATTCGAAGAGACCGCCTCTCAAAGTACCTCTCGGAGCTTGTGTGGCGTCGGTACGGTGACCGCATTAAGGACTCATCAAAACTTAACGGCGCCACCGCAGCCATCATGCAACTCACGGCGAACAGCATCCATGCTGCATGCGACTCACTAATGCAAGAGAAGGATTTTAACCTGGCCTTGCTGGTCGCGCAAATTGGGCAGGCGGATTCAGCTTTTCAGGAGGACATCGCGGATCAGATCTCCGCATGGCGCGGTCAGAGGGTCATTTCCGAAATGAGCGAGGAGATTCGTGCATTGTATGAGATACTCTCGGGAAACACGAATATCGTACAGGGATGGCAGAATGTGCCTGTTGAAGATCGCGCGTCGACGTTCGCCATCTCGGAAAAATTCGGACTGGATTGGATCCAGGCTTTTGCGTTGTGCTTCTGGTATGGGAAGCACAAGAACGGCGAGATTCATGAAGTGGTCGCGGATTTCCAGGAGAAGTTGAACTCTAAGCTCGAATCGGCTACTCCTTTCTGCGGGGAGAACGAATATGAAGATCCGCTATGGGTGGTATTGAAGATCTTTGCGGGCAACAGTGGAACCAACAAGGGAAAGGCAGGTAGCAGGGCCGCTGCTTCTGTTGCCAGCCAGATTGAAAAACCTGTGCTACCCCAAGCTCTCTCGGCGCTGTCTCAACCTTGGAACTCCGAGACGACGTTTCGTCTCCACCACGCCATTGTCGCCACAATACCAGGAATCTCAATCGATCAGAACCGATCCGACGACCTAGCGCTGTCTCTTGCATTCGAGTACTCCGCACGTAGAGACACTGTGGGCGCGGTCTATGCACTCCTCCACCTCTCCGATCCCGCACAGCGGGTAGATCAGATTCGCCATCTCCTCGATCGGCATGGCGCCACATTGCCGTCTCCGCCACGTCCCGACGGCGCCGCCGCCACCCAAGGCTCTTCACTCTGGGCAGCTTTCACAACCTCTCTCTGTATTCCTGCACCATGGATCCACCAGTCCAAAGCTCTCCACGCGCGCTCATGTAATAACCATCTCGCGGAGCTGAACTATCTCCTCGCTGCATCAGACTTCCGCAGCGCTCACGACTGCTTCCTCCGACGTGTGGCCCCGCGATTGGTTATCGACGAAGACTGGGAAACTCTGAGAGAAGTATTGGGATGGTTTGGGGATGAGGCAGAGCAGACAGTTGACACGGCAATGGCAAGTGGTGGAGACGAAAACTTAGGGACCCAGTGGAGGACCGGTGGACAAGTGTATGCCGATTTTGTGGAGTTGATGATGGATCTATCTACACCAACACGACGTGGGTCGGCCGACGGCAGCGCGGAGACAAAGCGCAGAGCGAAGAAGGGGCTGCTTTTGCGACTTCAAGGTTCGCTGACGGAGTTAAACGCACAATCGCAAGTTATGTCGTCTGCTACGGGATCGGGCTTCTCGGATCTGAACAAGGATCGCGAGAAGCTTGAAGAAAGAGTAGCTTTGTGCGAGATGGGGAGAATGGTTGCGAGGGGTTTGGAATTGGAGAGTGAAGGTGTCAGTGAAAAGGTATGTTGACGCATCTTGTCTCCCCTAGGTTTTTACCGATAGCATCTGAACGGGCTTGCTGACCATGATTTTGGCGAGCAGAAACATATCCTCGACCTCCCTCTTAACGCAGACGCGAGGCTCATTCATGCTCGAACTTTGGGAGTGGAATATTATCGCGGTGTGATGGCTATGGCACGTTGATCCTCCCCGGGTGCCTGAATTTATTTGCTACCACTTCGAATTGGGCAATCTCGTGCGTGGAGGGTCGAGGGAAGCTTGGACACAACAAAAAGGACGGGAACGGGCCAAAATTTGGGGGGCTAGAAAGTGTGCTGATTCACTCTCAAGGCAGAACATTGGGGAGAGCAGTAAAGACCCCCGGGCAGAGATCAATTAACCAGGGCGATTTGATATGCGTACCTCGTACTGGTGACAGGAGTGTTGCCGTGATGGTTCGACGAAATTCAACGCCCAGTTAAGGGAGTCAGATGGCATTTTCCACCTCCATCTGCTGACATGCAAATGAACGATAGACGGAGTGTTCAACCCAAGCCAATGCTGTGCCTGAAGCACGAGGCTTTGCTGGCGCCGGATCGAGGTGCTGGCGAGGGCTAGTGATGCTGGTGGGCCCAGAAAGCGCCAAGTAAAGCCAAGGCGCTACTTAAGACCATCTGCCAGCTACTGTATCAGGTAAATAATGCTGGGAGTCTAGCGACCATGGACGGGTACCTCTTATCACATCTGGGAAGCAAAACCCGACTGTACTTTCAGAAACATTGGGATGTGGACCCAGGCTGGCGACCCAGGAGTCTGCATACAAGTTCTGTAGGTCGAGATGTCTCAATAGTAATTGATTACTTGGAAAAGAACGACCACGGCAGCGAGCCGTAGCGAGGTAGCGAGGAAGGTAATGCAACATCACGTGCTCAGCTAACTTTTGTTCATAAGGTTAGGGGAACGCAAAGACTGCGGTACCGAGGACCAAGCAACTCGTCCTGAGTACTTGCACAGGGTAAAGATCGTGCCACGAGCAGCGCGAGAACTGGCCAAATCTGGCGCAGTTTGCACTCGCTTTGCTAGCCAGCGAGTGGCGCCGAACATAAACGAACACCTACCTTGGACCAGGCGTCGGGAAAAAGTTCCGGCTTTGTATATGTATTGCGGCCCCACTCCCTTCCTCCAAGCTGATCAGAGGTGACCTGTAGATGTCAATCCATCGAGCACCTCGTAAGAACATACTCCGTACGTTTGTTCTGACGTCCCGGCATGAATTGGTTGTCGAGGGATGAAAAGGCGAAACCAATCTGGTCTCCAGCCTATCTTTGTTCCGTTACTCGCCATAGCTTCTATTCTCTGTTCTGGTGCCAAAATGGCATCTCCAAGGCATGATCATATGTCAGATTCAAACCCGCGGCCCCTCTCCAAGCCACCATGACCCAACCTCGAACAAGTCATGCATGCGATCGCTGCCGCCTGATGCGTGTCAAATGCGCGAGTGCGACGCGATGTACGAAATGTGTCAAAGATGATGCAGGGTGCATCCATGGCGACCGCAAGAGAGAGCGCAACAAGAAGTAAGCTGTGACAGCGGCACCGATACCGGTAATGGCCTGCTGATTCCGCCCAAGAGACCTTGCCGAAAGTCTTGAACGCATTCAGACACTGGAGGGAGAAATCCACAGTCTCGCCCAACAAAATACTGGGATAAAACGAAAATATGACGAAATGCAACGTGATCAAGAAATCCTAAGCAGACTACCGGATAATCTACGAGAAAGTGGCGCAGATCATGTCGCTGATTCGCAGCAATGCTTCGATGGTGGAGGTTAAGTCCTGCATCGAGCAAGAATTGGACCAAATGAGCCGATCGGGTCGCGAGCCAACGCCGGAATACACAATGCTCGAGAACGAAATCCGGCGTGAGAGTCAAATTGACAGACATCGATCGGCTGTGTCGATTCACATGCTTGTGGACATGCCGCTCGTCAGAGTTTCCGCTGCATCATGGACAAAGGCGACTCATGACAACCTAGTCTCCAATCTGATCTCAGTATGGTCGACCTGGGATAAAATTTGGTATAACTGGTTAGACGAAATCCCATATCTTCGGGACATGGGACTGAGTCACTAGAACTCGCTGCACTGTTCAAAATTTCTCGCCAACTCTCCCCTGGCATGGGTATGGCCGTACAGTGACTATCCAGAAGCACGGATCAAGCATGGAGCTATATCAAAAATTGATGGATGGCTTCATTGCCGAAGCCAAGAGTCAACTTGAGGTCGAGTTTGCCAAGGGACCCTCCTTGCCCACGGCACAGGGTCTTTTTTTCTTATTTCTGGCAATCGCACTGTCTGGACAAGATCGCCTGGGATACCAGTACCTGGTACAGGCAGTGAATATAAGCCAAGAGATATCAAGGCCGCAGTTTGAAATTAGCTTGGAGGCCTTGCTTGAAACTGACGCTGCAAAAGGAGAATTGTCCAGGGCTATTGACCTAACCTCCGGGGGCGTGTTCATTACGATGATAGCTACCTGCCTTGCACTTATGAGCCCCCCAATGATGAAACCGCTGCGTAGACTCAAACCGGTTCCGCACGGTACAGAATCGCAGAAGGACAATCCATGGACACCATATCCCTGAAACGTGACAACCATTCCTTCATATAGAGACGCTCTCACAGAAGTCGAGTGAGAGGTCTCGCTTATTGTCATGAGATTGACAAAGGTGCTGTTTGACGCTGATCACGAGGAGCCACCGCCACGTAAGGAGGTAGGAAACCGATTGCTTCTTCTCTATGAAGAGCTGTCGTCAATAATCAACGCCCTGCCGGAGCATCTCCGAGCAACAGATGCCTCAACGCCCGCCGTGCTCACCCATTAGTAAGTTTTACGGTCATACGCGCTTAAGACGGATTCCATTAGTGACATATCCAAAGCAATTACTTCCAGGTCTTAGTCCTGCGAATGTTTTTGTTCCTGAAGCAACCTGCCGAGGACGCTTCACCAGCCGTGCAACAACGAGCGAAGGAGTCCTGCATCAAGTCCTCTCTGGAAGTTGCGCGCTTCTGCAAAATCTACATGTCGGCGTACGGATCCTCGATCATGACGAATACGTGGACCCAGAGCACAAGCGTGGCTCTCTACACCTTAGTCGAGGAAGTGGCCGCTTCAGACAAGAACTCCTAGCTTTACTAAGAGCTGATCTGAGACCTTTGCATCGTCCTGCACGCCCTGTCGCGCCGCTGGCCTATGTCTATGGTGATCTTGCGCATGGTGCAGCTCGATGCTCGAGCCAAAGGAGCCGCATTACCGCCGGAAACCGAGAAATTGTTCGAGAAGTTTGAAAATAGAGATTGGAAGACCCAGGAGACGAGAGAGTTGATGAGCATTTATGCTGACCTGGAGAGTGCAACGACCCAGCAAGGGAATGCTGCGTCAGTGGACATGGGGAAATTCATAAAGCAGATGGAGAGCCTTGGTTTAGAAGCTCCTAAGTTGAGTTAGTGAAATGGATATAGATAATACGAAACGGCAGAGCAGCATGATGGACTCAGAGCAATGCTGTTGGGGGCGATTACATGCGTTTGAGATGGCTTAGGCAGGACACAATCAAGCAGATAGATCCTGTTGTACGAAATGTTGAGTTGTGGACCTGTCTGGTTGATTGTGTGCTTGTCCCCTGGCTATTCAGAGAGACTCTGCCTGTTTATATATACATTGGCCTGTAACCACAAGAGCATTCCTGAAACCTCCTATTCCGTCGCCATGCTGTTACAGGTCGGTGGGAACAACGATGTTGAGGTAAGTACCGCAATTGGTGTGACAGCTAGCGTCTCAGGTGGTTTGCCACAGTGGCTATCTTGCAACCCTGTCAACAGATACACTCACACTCTGTGTTCAACAGATCCATTGTAACAGGCTGAGGTTACGGGCACAAGGCTTTACAGACCGAGGACGTCGGCGAGATGCTTCAGAGGGGTATAGGCCCCCGTAGAGAGGTTAAGGCTGTAAGGAAGACCAGGTACAGATCGCTTAATAAGGGCGACTTAACACGTGTACTAGTGGCAGAGATATACCGTGGTGATGATGATTCGAATTCCAACGCTTGTCGGGAAAGGGTGAAGAGAGTAGAGCCAGAAAGTCCAAATTAACACTCTACATGGAAGATATAAGATATACATTATATATTGGTTGAATATCCTACGCAATCGACCATAGGATGTGGAAAACAGGGCTTCCCGTTCGCTCAGCCGTACTTAAGCCACATGCCGGTCAGTTAGTACTAAGGTGGGTGACCACTTGGGAATCCTGACTATTGATTGTTTTTGCTTTTTTATTTGCTTCTTGCTCAATGTGTACTGAAGAGACGGTCCTTTGTTCAAGGGAGAAGGGAGATATATGTCGTACGTAAAGAAGGTGGCCGCAGGTCGTCACCCACAGTCCCAGACAATACGGAGGAAATCTACTCCACACGCCGGCTTAACTACTCCGCACACCCCGTTCTGTACCCTGTACAGATCAAATGGATACGTACTCTTTAATAGCATGCCAAAAGCTATCAAGACGAGGAGCAGAAGCACATACAACCCTAAGCATCGGCGATCTTCTCTGGGTAGTTCTTTTCCTTCTCCCCGCTGATGCACGAGGTACAGCCGAAATGACCCCTGCCAGCCCTGCCCTGAGAAAATGCGCCCCCATGGGGGAGAAGATGCCCGCTAGCCTTCCCAGTAGCGGGGAGATCTTCGCCAAAGGCTGTAACCTTATGGTGAGCATCGACGCGCTGTGCCGAGTTGTTTGGAGAGACTCAAAGTGGACTACCCAGGTCGCCAGGTATATATTGCCAGTGTCCGATATTCCGCAAAGTTTGCCAGAGGTCAGTAAGCGATCGTGGTCTGTGTACGAAGAAACGAAGCGGAACAGAAAAGGAGAGGGAAAAAAAGGATCCCACACAATATGAAATTTCAACACTTCCTTAACACCGGCCTCCTCACCATCCTGCCGACGTCGCTATCACAATCACCTCCGCGCACGGCAACGAGTCTGCCATTCAACATCAACCCGTCCACGCCCGAGAACACGGCAAACTACACACCGCCTGTCTTCCCGATCGCGCCATTCAACAAATATGCCCACAACCCAATCCTGAGGCCCAACCCAGCCGCGAACTGGGAGTCGGCGTACCTGTATAACCCCACCGCCATCGTGCTCAACGAGACCATCTTCCTCCTGTACCGCGCACAGAACTCGTCCAAGACGTCGTCCATCGGCCTCGCGTGGTCCACAGACGGCGTCACCTTTACTCGCCTCAACCGTCCGATCGTCTATGCGACCGAGCCGTGGGAGCATCTTGGCGGGACCGAAGATCCGCGCATCGTCCGCGTCAATGGCACGTTTTACATGACCTACACGGCATACGACGGCGTGACGCCGCAACTTTGCCTAGCCACGTCCACGGATCTTTTAAACTGGCAAAAGTTCCCCCCTCTCTTCCCTGGCTATCAGGACGTGGAATACTCAGACATCGACGTGCCTTCTCCGCGCATCAACCATTCCAAATCCGGTGCCATCGTCAGTGAGCCCACGGCGGATGGACTGTATCACATGTATTTCGGCGACAGCTTCTTCTACCACGCCACTTCGCGCAACCTCTTAAACTGGACCGCATTGCCCGCTGACCAATTCTTCGCCAGCCCCGTCAATCCCTGGGAGAACCGCCTGATCGAACCCGGCCCGCCCCCCGTCAAGACACGAGATGGGAGATGGTTGCTCATATACAACGGGATGACGACGGGTCGCGTGGGATACCCGCAGAACCAGTATTCGGTGGGTCAGATGCTCATCGACCCCTCCGGCTCGTTTCGTCCGACCCTGAACTTGAGCGGTGGTGCGTACCAGCCGGCATTGAGAGATGGGCCGGTCGCGAGGCTGGAGAGACCGATTCTGGTTCCCGAGGCTGGGAATGAGAAAAAGGGCCAGGTGGACCAGGTGGTCTTTGCAGAGGGCCTGGTGCAGTTCAAGGGCAAGTGGTACTTGTACTTTGGTAAGTTGAAGATTTGCTCCTTGATAGGCATCGAATGGTACTAGCCGGCTGACCAATGCATCAGGACAGGGAGATAGCGAGTTGGGTGTGGCTATTGCCGATGAACAGCCTTGAGCATGGAAAATAGTATGGCTTTTCAAGAACCCAGATACCCTTGGGGGTTCATATTGCCCAACCTTGATCGATGCCACGTGGCGCAGCATTCCGTATCCGGTGGTTGAGGCCAGAGTTCCATGAATCCACTGTTTGTTTATTGCTCGAGTTTGTCGCATATTCGTTCCTGCGCCTGTCCTCGTCATGCTGTCCTTCTGCACTTTCACTGGAATATTTCTCTAAACCCTGCCACAATTCGATAAATTTTGTCATCTCTATGTCGTATATCTGGCCTTTTCCCTTTTTATGGTCCTCTCATATCGTCTGCGGGATTGGAAGCTCTCGATTTCTTCGTCAGAATAGCCCCCAGTTCGACCGCGTCGATTCCGTTGTCGAAAAACCTCTGGTTAGCTTCGGCTTGCAATAAATCATCTCTCGGGAGGTAGTCAAAAGAGACCCTCTTAAGATAACAGTGATCGGACGTGAAGTGGTGGCGAGCACTATATACCCGCAGTCTTGGTTTCTCTGACGTTACGGTACACCATGTTTCTGGTGGTACAAGTAAAAACGAGGCCTCGTTGGTCACTAACCACCCCTACCTCATACACCTAATCTACCTCTAAACGGTCTAATCTAGCGTGATCAAATCGCAAGCCTTAACGCGAAGCAGCGCAAATGCCTAGTCATATGTCTCTAGATTAGCGGTTTCAGGCCAATATCCAGGGCCACGATGACCCTAAGTGATGAGACGTGGAATCCAAATGTTTAGATCAGCCCCAGCCTTGATGAAAGGGAGCATCCCACCCCCAAGAATGTTGCTAAACCGGTTTTCGGCCATTAGGACCATGTATATTTATATTGTGAGGTAATTCTTTGTGTCACGCTTTACGGAACTAACAATCAACTCTTAATTAGGACCAGCCCCCAATTCCAGCAAGAGATGAGTGTTTATAAAAAGAGTTTGTTGCTTAGACCAGTGAATGCGGCTAACGCAGCTGCGGAGAAGCTCAGTCAAATACTGTCTCTTCTGAACAAAGCCTGAGATCCTCAGTTTGAGTTCTGTGTAAGCTCGATGACTGAATTCAGCAAAGGCTTTCGTATAGTCCACATTTTCCGTGTCCGTGAAATATGGCCACTTGCTTTTCATCCACTCGTCTAGGAAGAAGCCCAGCGACTTGAATTTCTCGACGATTTCCTCCAGCTGCACAGATATTGCAATGGCGACTTCTTTGTGCTCATCCAGGTAGCCCAGGAATGGTCGCTTATACATGGAGATACTGGCTAGGTTCTCGCTGATCGCTTCCGGGTGCAGCCCTATTGTACACAGTTTCATCAAAACAAGAGTGCATTTGTACCGCCTCATGCCGAGTTCGTGTTCCAGTAATGGTTGAGCTTGGAGCAACTTCTTGCCTGACTGGGTCTGAAGGTATTTCTCGGCAGTCCGGTGCAGAAACGACACACCCAGGTTACGGTGACTCTGGCAAATCTCAGTGAGTCTGTCGATTGTGTTTGGGTATCGCATGAGCTCGCTTTTCCTGACTCCAAACCGCGAACATTTCTCTGCGTCAACTTCCCGACCTTCACTCACATCACGGATTTCGAGAAAGCCCGCGCAGTGCGTCAGGACTCTCTGGGTCAATCTTTCATGATCGAGACCCTCTCCAAAACTTTCTAAATTCTATCTTGTTGAGGTGCCCAGATAAAGCTCCTTCAACTTTTCGTCACCACCAACTGTGAGGTCGATCAAGGAACAACGGCCAAATCGCCGGATATATTGAAAATAGGCTGCAGCTTCCTTTGCGTAGAAAGCTTGGTCGAGTGCCATTCGCTTCCACATGTGTTCATAGAGATTGGAAATCGCTTCTGGCAATTGCTCGATACGTTGACATAAAGTCCCCAGTCGTCGTCCTTCCGACTGCCTCGAAGCAGGGATTCAATAGCCAGGCGAACCCATAAGAAAACACCTTCCGCCTTGTTCACGACCATTTCGACTAATTCACACATCTCTTCCGACGCTAGAGTGGCGGGCCGTTGAGAATCTTTAGAGGCTAAGTTCTTGACGAGCTTATCCTCAACGTAAAGCTTGATGTCAGACTCGGCAAGCTCCTGATGCCTCAGGTTAGGCATGAATTATACAGCGAATCAAGACTTGCAGATGGCCGAGTTGATATGCATATCTTTGTCTTCTGACGGTCCTGAAAGATTTTGATGATATCTGCTATGGCATCGAACTGGTCCTCCAAAACCTTGAAACTCGTCTAGACCGTCGAGAAAGAGACAAATGGGATTAGAGATACGTGCCGTACACCGTCCTCCTCTGCTGCATAACATTCTTCCATGCTTCGGTCTCAAAGGCCCGATCCGCATAAGCCCGCACCCGAGGATTATCCTTGAACATCGCTCCCCTCCCAACATCCAACAGCCGAGCAATGAACGGTACAACATGCGCGTCTAGAGCCGTCGCCTCAGGAGTACCAAAGATCCACAGGAAGCCACCATGGTCTGAACCCTTCGCATTGGCCTCTGTAGCCCCCAACAGCGCTTCGATCTTCGACAGGAATGACAGCGCTTTCTGTTGCTGTACCACGACCGCCGCTTTGGTGAGCGCCGGAGCCCGCGTCGCGCGAATCCTGTCCATAGATCAATGAGTACTTGTCTCGCCGCGCCTCTCATGAACTTACACCTCGAGCTTGAACTCCAAAGCCTTGCGGTATCGTTCCGAAATGTCCGAGCGGACAAGGACCTTTTGCACGGAGTTCTCCATGTCAACGGCACGTTGAGGCTTGTGGGTATATGTCAAGGAGAAATAGTTGATATCGTGGAGCTCATTGAGAAGTGATGTAATCTGTGAGGCAACATGGGCAGGACACAGAGTGGGAAAATGTTTGGCGAGGAAATACGTGATGTCCACACTCTCGCTGAGCGGCGTCTTCAAACGTTGTGAATTCGAGCTCTTCAAGACTGGAACCTGTCCACCCGGTTCAGCTTGGTTCGTCGTGTGTCAACACGACGTACTGTCCCTTGGGGATTAACTTCACATAGGTAAGATTCCGCCAGCTGTCCTCCGTGCTGGATATCAATTGGCTGCTCGTTGATCCTGATGTGCCCATCTTGAAGATGTTGAATGACTGCAACCGTGTACCGGACCATTATCGAACAGATAGAGTAGTCATTGTAGAAGAGTGTGTACTCTTCGGCCATGCCTGCCCCGAGAGTGTGGTCTTACCTCGACTGCCACCGCGCTACTAATTATAAGATTTTTCGGAGTTGGGGAATAAGATCTCCCAAGGTTTACTTCCACTGGATAGACCTCTTAGCCTCTCGACGCAGAAAAGGAGATGACGAAACGACAAGAAGTGAAGCAATTTGAGTCTCCATTCCAGACTAAATATATTTATTCCACATCCGGGGTAAAATCGGCTGTCGCTTACTCCAGCCTCGCGCTCGGACTTGAGTCAACGTGCGAGGTTCCCAACAGACGGATTACCGACATGGCGAGCACGAAGGGACGGAATGACGGCAAGGTCGGATAGCGAAGGAGAGGGCAGATTACGTCCTTGGAGCGGGCGACTCGTGGTTCAATAGAGAAGAAGCACTGGATTTCCAAGGTTGTCGGGCTGAATCCTGCATATTTCGGTATCTATCCAAGGCTGCTATCAACTAACATAAGCACACTTGTCATCCCGCTTTTTCGACTCTCTTTGGCGGGACACAGGCACGTAAATTGACGACAACCCAGACAAACTCAGGACCCAGCCCACGGCTTTTCTTTTCTTTTCTTTCTTTTTCGGAAATGCTTTTTGTTGCGGGGCAAAAGCTCACAAGCCCATCCTCTCTGCCACATCTCTCTGCATACCGGTGAAAATCGGATTTTGCATGCTGAAATCTGATCCACCAGAGGCATATGGAAGAAGGGACCTTCTTCGAAGCGACATCATGACTGGGTGGCCTCCACCAAATCTCGACTGTATGATCTGCTCATTGGAAACATGCATTGAGAGCCGAATCATGTGTTGACGTACACAGTCGAGTCCGCCGGAAGCAACAAGCCGGATCTCCCTACGAAGGTGAACTCATTCGTGTTGAAGCCAGACCCTCTCATCCTGCCACCTCGCTGAAGTCACGGTTTTCGATTCTCCGAAGATCAGCGAAGAGACAATGACTGCGGCTGAAACGCGAAGTTCCCGAGACGACAAAAGGAAAGGGCTGGACTGCAACAGCCAATGAGGGCCTCAACATCCAAGCACACATCAACAGCATTCCATGAGATATCCCTCGAGACCATAGCTCAACAACAAAAGAAGTTCGGGTTGGAAGAGCCTACACAACATCATCCAAAACAGATCAAGGGGGCTCTAAAACCAACGTGGGTCCGAACATCCTACGCAAGACCTGCTTCGTCCTCGAGATACCACTCACGATTTCCCTCTGAAGAGAAACGAAGGGTATATAGATCGAAAGAACTTATAATTCCACTCCATCACGCAACTCCGGCTGCGATAGAATGGCACAGTGTCCAATCGCAACACCGAAAGCCTTGCTTGACACCTTGCCACAGAGTGATAAGGCGCGACAGCCACTGTAGGGATCTAGGGCTATCGGAAGGTCAGTGGAGAAGGGAGCAGGGTACTTCTCAACCAGAGGAAGAGAGAAGCACGCTGTGCCACCGGAGAAGGGGCCGGGAAGGAACTCGAGTCCCTCGGTGCTGACCTTGAGGAATTCATCTTCGTTGTGGCCTCCAAGTAAAAGCCCGGGGATGTCAGCGTTCTTCTTTTTCGACATCGCGTCCGGGCGGGTGTTGAGCCATAACAAAGAAGAGGTCCTCCACATAGCATGTCAACATTCAACATCACACACACATTACCAATGCCACCCATTTGGCTTTGTTTCTCACTCCTATGATTTCAATCGGAATTCCATTATCCCTCCACAAATGTTGGTTCGCTCTCCGCTGTATGGCAATCCTGGAGAGTTTGTCCAGTTAAATCTGGTATGAATGTCTGAAGTGCTCAAGATGGTGTGTAGCTATCTCGGTTACGCAGGGAGTCGTTTGCGATCACGAAATTTCAAAAACTCAATTTAGTCATTTCGATCTCAATCCCCATGCCAGATACTTCGTCCCTTGCTGTCAATCTGTGACTGCTGCGTCTCTTGATATCATTGACGCCCAGAAAACCCTAGCTTTGAATCTTGATAGTCCTCTTCACGCGTCTCCGGCTTTTCAGGCGGCGTATACTTTGGTGCAGGTGACATTGGCCGAGAATTGTTGAAATTGGTCAGTGGGATATCCGCAAACCCAGTATACCGCTCTCGGTTGTCTAATCGAAATTCCCGGCTTGTTGCGATATTCGAAGGAAATGCTGGGGTACCGCCTTCGCCACGGACCTTGTCCCGTCTACGCCAGAGCATCAATGCTCGAATGATGCCCATGAGCACGACGAAGACCCAGACAAGCAGGATAACAGTTGAAATGATCGCTTCCGTCCGGATGGTATTTTTTAGCGCAGCAATGAATCGTGCTACGGCCTCCGAAATCTTGTCACTTGCAGTGTCCCCTGGACTCGCGAGAAAAGAGTCAGAGGGATTGTTGGAGTCCGCCAGACTGGTTACGGCGCCTAAACTGAAGGTATCATTCGGAAGCAACGGAAAGTCGATGTGCGCGTTATCATGAACCCAGGTTAAGCCTTTCTCAATGCCCTGGATCTTGAGCAAGACAAGACAGTTGAGAACCTCCATAATTGGGCTGTACAACACAGTGCCGCCGAATGTGGTGTTGAGGACTTTTGTTGTCTCGTCCACAAATGCGTTGAGTGTGTCGTTGATCGCAGTTGTGGACGTATTCACCCAACCCAGCATGTTTTGATTGATATCCTTGCTCGTCGCGGCAATGGCTGCGTTGGTGCCGATGGCCCACTGTTCAGAAGCATTGTTGAGTTGCGCAACCACCTTGTCAGAAAAGGTGCCGACTTGGTTCGTGAGGACCGGAACTTCCTTTTCCAGGGCTCGGAGCAGGATGGCTTGACAGGCACAGGAGAACAGACCTGCTATGGCGAGGGCGAGCACAAACAATGCAGCCTCAGAGGTAGCGTACGCAACGACCCAGCGAACGAGGTCCTTTTTGCGCTGGGACTGGAATGTGTTGGAAAGCTTGATTCCAGCGGTCGACGTATAGGGTCGGCTGACCAAGTAGACCACGTCCAACGGGTCACGAGCGTCAGAATTGACCAACTGACTACGCTCTTGCATTTTTGGCCATCGTTTGATTTCGCGCCACGCCATTGGGATCATCGCGAGGATTGCCAGGGTAAGCAGCACGCCAATGAAGACTCTGCGGGCCAGAGCAGCCAAATTGACCAGCCCATCAAAGAAGTCATTGATCCCATCATTGTCGCTGCAAAAGGTAAGTTGTTCTTTCTGCGGGACTGGGAACAAGGATCGGTTGAAGGTATAATTGCCCACATATTCGTTCATGAGCTGTTTGACTTCTTCGAACGGAAGGCGGATGATGCTCTCAGTGAAATTCTTGACCTGGGTGAAAGTGGGGATCGAGTTGTTGAGTTTCTGAAGATCGGCGTCAAGGTTCGCCGGTAGTTTGAGATTCTTCAAAGAGTTCATTTCGGAAGTAAGATTAAGAGGCGCTGGTTGGTCGACGGTTTGGCCGAAAGCAATAAAGCTCTCGAGTTTGCCGATGAAACTGTTGTAGGCATCCTCAAAAGTTTTGACAGCGCCCGACAGGTCGTTTCCGAGATTCTGAGTGAGTTTATTGAGACCATCTTGTGCCGAGTCGAGGGCTCCGATGACGGAATGCAGGCTTCCACTAACGGCGAAAGTGATCAGACAGAGGTAGGTGTTGGTCATCATGCCGATCACGAAGACCACAATCTCTTCCACTGCCGTGACACTCATGGTCGTCATCCGAATCAGGCCATTGACCGACTTCTCGATACCAGTAGCCGCCACTTCATTCACGCCCTGAGACATATAATGAGGCATAGAGGCCATGACGGAACCCATCGATTCCACGTCGGAGCAGGCAGAAAGTGCCTCACGTCTTGCAGAGCCCAGATTGTCGTCGATTCCGGAGATTGCGATAAGGGTGCGAGCGAGGACAAGTAGGAGGAGAATGGTCCATCGATTAAGCCATATCTGTGACAAACGAGCCCGGAGGCCAAGGTAGGGTGTGATGGATGGTGCAGTGTGTGGTAGTGTCCGAGGTGGGCCTTGGTTGGAGTAGTAGTCTCGTATCTCATGGCTGCCGGCAGGCATGGATGGAGGAGCGCCAGCCGCGAGGACTGGCGGGGCAGACATGGTGCAAAAATCGACAGGAAATTATCTAATATTGGAGTTCAAGTAAGTATCTTGATTGCCTGGGAAGGTCGTTTCGATGGGTGAGAGTAGTTGATTTTGCAGGATCAGAGAAAGAAACAGATAGGACCAAGATGGTGGTGGTACAAGTGACAAGGCCGGTTAATCGACAAAGGCAGTCAACAAGACTCAGCAGAGTGAATGCAATGTATGACACAAACAAAGGAGACTCGTGACATGGAAGAAGGCGGAGAGAGCCAAAAATCGAAAGGGAAGTGAATGGGGGATTGTAGACAAAGAATAACGAGAGACGGGGGACAATAAGAACAATAAGGCTCAATAGAACTAGAGCAGGATTCTGCCGGTACGTACCGCTTTTCCCATCGACGTCGACGCCATGTTGCAGACGCACCACCAATGTTCCAAGAGACTCTTCTGAACATCTAGACACAGATTGTGAGTGTTTCAAAAGAGTTTGTCGCATGTGGTCGTGCAGGAATATCGGCTGGTGGCGATGTTTCCAAACAAAAGTTGGCGCGCAGTCCAGAAATAGCGCCACCAGGCTGAAGAAGCGCCCACCAACCATCTCGTGCTTGCTGCTCCCACGTCCGACACGCGCTCTCACGTGGAAGTTGAAGATGAAACAAGATCGCACGGGAATGAGATGGCACAGTGGATTCATCTTCAGATTGCCTCGCCATCATCCCAGCCGCCACCACAAACCCGTTCGCTTTGCTAGGACCCGTCGCGGTCGTGACGCAACTCAGGAACACCCATTGCCGCTGAGGACGTGGTCAACTGTAGACGGGCGGATGCAGCGCCGGATGGGGAAGTGGCGCGAGGCTGGGAAGGGAGACACCACGAAGCAATCCGATATCCCCCAATGGTGCCTACCAGGAGGAAAAGCGCCGACGGTGAGGTTTGGCGGCAGGCAGGGTTTTTAAAGCATGGTCCAAGATTCGGCGCCAATCGCCGCGGGATCAGCATCGTGTTTTATTGCTGTGGCGTTGAGCGGGGAGATATGAGGTACAGGCTATGATGTCATTCCTCGCTTCAGCTTATAAGTAGGTGGTCTTGGCCGCCTTGCTATTTCAGTCCTAGCGTCTTTCGCATCCTCATCCCGTGATCAAGCTACCATACCTATCCCGAGTACGCGAGGCTGTCCACTATAATCGAGCACTCAGCACAGTCGCACTATCTGCGGTGTTTACACAGGGTAAGCGAGGATGCAACCCCCGATTGGTACTTGAAGCTATGTTGATCAACACTGCGAAGCGGCGAATGTCACTAGCACGCCCACGTCTTTCTCCTTAGCATGGGCGGTCATCATCATGTCTTGCTCGTCGTCTTGCGAAGAGACAAGTCCAACCAACCTCAATATCTGTCGACGAAGACGCATCGTTCCATCATGCAGCTGGCACAGAGATCTGTAGATTGCGGATACGTGAATTTGGCTGAGTTGCAAGTACGAACGACGATCAGGAGCGAAAGGAGGCGTATCACACCGACAGAGACGTGTGTAAGTGTACAGCGATTTCATGCGAAGCCAGATTCTGCGAGGTCGAACGTTGGTTTTCGGAGCAGGTCACAGCATGTGCGAACGTTGGCCAAGGCAGCGTGGCGAGCACTCATCCAGACGTCGAAGAGGCGAGAGCATGGTCGTCGAGGAGTTTAGAGATCATCCGACAACGGCATCAAAATTCCACAGTCACGAGCCAGGTCACGGTCGGTCCACTCAACGCGCCTTATCGTTGCTCACCTTGACCTTGGCCACCTTGTTGTTGAGCCGCCATGGCTGCATACCACATCTGAAGGTAGTTCTGGTACCCACCATATGCAGCATATGGGTCGGCCGCCCCGGCAGCTGGAGGAGGTGCAACCCCTTGAGCGGCGGCGGCGGCAGCGGGAGCATATGTGGGCTGTTGTCCCGGGTATCTGTCCATATAGTCGTCGCGACTTTCACGTTCACGAGCTTGTGTTCGAGCACGCTGATATGCGTTAGTGAAGATGCATCAGCAAGAATTATCCATTAGTGACAGCTTACCACAACATCAACTTTCTCCATGATGGCACGTTTGGCAGCATCGATGGCGTGTCGACTGCCAATCAAACCAATTTCGCGTTCGATGTCTCGTCCAGCAGCGGGCGAGACGTTGATCTTGCACCCTGTTTGATTCTGCATATCACGGATAGACTCACCCCCTGGACGGAAATTAGTGCCATGCACACGATCAACAAAGGACTTAAAACTATACCTTTGCCGATGATCATACCCACTGCCTCGCCGGGCACGACAATGCTGTCATTGAGCTTGCCTTGCGAGTCCTCCCGCTCACGGTGGAGATCTTTGATGCTGATGCCCTTCTGGTCACTCTCCACAATCTCCAATATCAGATCTCTGGCGTATTGCTGAGCCGACGCACTGCCGATCAAGTTGACGGGTCGCATGCCGTTCACACTCTTGTTCTCTCCGACGATGTTGACATGGCACCCGCTTCGATCTTGCAGGTCGCGAATGGTTTCCCCTCCTCGACCAATAATTAGGCCCACTGTTCGGTCAGGAACCATCATTTGAAGGCTATCACCCTCTTTGGTACTTGTGACTTTGGTTTGGTTGGTGCGTGACTTGTCTTGCCCTCTCTTTGCAACTTCATTGTCGTCAATGATCCTAAAAATTTCGGCTTTGGCAGCTGTACGCGCCGCTCGGCTGCCAGATATCCTGCAGTGTCGTTGAGGACCCGGCACTTCGGGGCCATCCATAAACTGGACGCGGGCGCCTGTGGTGTTTTCAACTCTGCGTAGATTTTCTCCAGAACGGCCAATGATAAGCCCAACCACACCTTTGTCTAGGGGCAGTATTTCCGAGTCACCTTCGCCTCCGCGGTCAAGGCCGGGTGACCGATCGTCCCTGTATCGCCCGGGAGAATAACGCCCACCTCTCGGAGAAAATGAACGGTCTCTATTGTATCCGCGGTCGGTCCCGCGTCGTTCGTCCCTGTAGGGATTGTAGGCATCGCGATAGCCTTCCCGCCGCGGAGGAGATCGGGATGGTGACCTCGAGCGGCGGTATGTCCTGCTTCCGGTACGAAGATCGGATGGGTTAATGGGCGCTATACAGCAACAGTCAACGACAGCCTCAAATGCCGAGGCGGCTTCACGTACGTCTACCTGGTTCATAAGAGAGACCTTTCTCGGCAGCTATGCCGCGAGCTTTGGCAACGGCATCGGCAATGCTGACAGAGCCCGAGCTGACTGGTTTTATGTTGGTCAGGTCAACGCTCCCAGAGTGGATGGGCTGAGGTAGACCGTAGGGCGGTGCACTGCCTGGAGGAGTGGCATACTGAGGCGGAGGATAAGGAGCACCTGGAACAGGTGGAGCGGGAGCGGCTTGAGGTGTGCCTCCTTGCCTCTGGGCCGCCAGTGCGGCCAGGATGTTGCTGAGATCTGCCATCAACTGCAAATAAGCCTAGAAAGAACCACACAAGCAGGTCGCAGCAACACGCGAATAGGTAAAGAATAGAGTATGGAGTTGGAGAAGAAAATGCTGTAGAAGTGGGTGATAGGGGACAATGAGTACCAGGTCAGAAAAACCCAGGTGTTGAGGCCGCATCGCAGGTGGGGCATCAGGACTTGTCCAAATCACGTTTATCTGCTAGCCGTAAAAAGATTAGACCTTATTTGCCTCGAACCGGTAGAGCAGGCGAGCATCCCTTTTCCAACGTCCTTCCAACATTGTGCTGCCAACCCAGTACGCTTTTCTTTTATCCAGGACGAATTATTCCTTACACACACCTAGGAGACTTTTGTTCACTTTGATATGCTCGGTGTCTCCGGGATGGCTCTGTGCCTGGTCAGTTCAACGGCTTCCTGGCGCTTTGCGAGAACGGCGACAGGCAACGAAAACTGCTGCTCCGATGTAGGTTGGATATACCTATATACTAGTGAAGGACGGGGCACTCTGCCAAATTGTATCAGCAATACCCAGTCTTAGAAATGAATCTCACCAGCCTTATCCTTGTTCCCCAAACAAACATATATAGCACAACACGCAGCCTCGTGATGGCCTGGGACGCTCGTGTGAATATGGCAATGCTTCTGGTGAGAAATCTAGAGCACGTGCTCATTTGCACCGGTACTCCTTCACGTATGCCATTTTCCTGCTGCTGCTGTCGACTGCGACGAATTTTCTTCACAAATTGACCTCGCAACTCCTCACCACCTGGCTCAGAAGCCAGCTCTCAGTGGAACAGCTGCAGATTCAGGCTCTTTGCAAAAAAAGTCCACGTCCAGACACCGTCTGTAAGAATGTCAAGCGCGTAAGCAGGGCCCCTTAAAGTCATGATAGGATGCTTGCTGATGAGTGATTCCAACCGACAGATCAGACAATGAGCCCATGGGACAGATACATACCCAGCAACGAAGCCTCGAACACTCAAAGGCATACGTCTCCCACACTTCCTCGTCGCTAAAGGACTCGAAAGTGCTATGGCCCTCCGATGGGTCTCGTATCCACACGATCGCCCTGCAAGACAAGGAATTGATAGTTGTTACTCACGCGCTTGGACCCTTTTTCAAAGGTAGGCATGTCGAAGGAATCCTTGCAGGCTTTTGCCAGAAAATATTCCTCTTGTTCAACACAGATACCAGAGCCCTGGGTATAGGTAGTGTCATTGCGGAGCAGCTTTTCAAATGTTTCGACGGCCAGGGATCACTTGCACGAGAAATAATGCCACTGGGGATTCAAGGTGTTCAGGAATTGAATTGGACCACCCAGAATGAGCAACTGGCTCCTCTTCGACAGGTGTATCAGAAGAGGATGAAAGAGGATCGCAGATCATTGACTCCGTTCTCCATGACAGACTCAAATGGAAACGAGCTACTATTTGCTGGGCTCCAAGAAGAGACCCTTATCATCGTGGACAAGACCATGCTGCCGGCTGGTCTTGTCAAGTACACCCATCATACATTTGACATAGGCTGCCTGGATCGGGCCAAATGTTCATGGCAGTTGTTCGTCAAAGTCACGCATCGGAACTTTTTGCGTTCCTGTTTTCGGACATGTCAGGCTCCAATCGTGAGTGTCGAAAGTCTTTCGAGCAAACGAATCTTTCAGGCTGACTCTTTGCAGAAAGACATGGCCGTAGCCATCATGACCGCGATGCGGATCTTCTCCGAAGCCCGGCGTTTTGTTCATCATCCAAAGCGAACAGAAGCAGCCGTTCTTGTCGAAACCATTGGCCGGGGAAAGTTCTACACAAATTCAACCGTTATTGATGAACAGACTGCCGTAACTCCTGAAACGCTTCCCCCTAGTGATGGCGACGGCTCGGCAGCGAGAGATGGCAGTGTACGCGGTCTTTCTGCCAGCCCAGATTCTCTTTCACACGCAAACAACTCTCATTCAGGACCATCCCCATCTTCATCCCCCCCATCATCTGCCTCTTCTTCAAACATCATGAATGACCTGTTGAATCAAAACGCCGTGGTGGATGTGCAGGCCGTCCCCACAAAGAAGCGCAAGAAAAAGACAAAGAAGAGCAAAAAGAAACCCACAAAAACAACTGCCCAAACCCAGACCGTGTCAAATGAGGGAGAACAGCATTCAGCGGACAAAGGATGCTCTGGGACTGCGGACAAGATGGCGGCTATCACAATTTCTGGATCACTCCCCATTCCACCACCAGCCTCGGCTCTGCCGCCGCCTGCTGTTCAGTCTGGTGGAGGAAATTCCGCAAAGAGGACAAGCGCATTACTGTCTAGGGAGCTGAAGCAGAGGGGCAAGGCAAAGAAACTCAGTAAGACTCCTGCAGCTAAGGAGCTGGAGCAAGATCTTGATGATACTGCTTCTCAAAATTCAAGTGATTCTGATCGGACGGTTACTCAAGAAGAGTTATCGAGGAAAGATGCTATCACCACCACCTCTTCTAGCAAAGGTCAACAGGACAAGCAACATGGGAAAGGGAGTGAGAAGGACAAGGGACAAACCAAGAAGAAGGATGCCGAGAATCCCAAGACAACTTCTCAGACCCAAGCAATTAGTTCCACCCAAGGAGGCACGAAGCCACGGAATGCACGCCCTCTATCCCCTGCACCCTTTGGCTGCTCCCCTACTAACTTTCTGCAGCACGGCCAGCCTGGCGATGAAGAGCCTCACCCTCCCGCTGAATTCAAATTCGATAGCTTGGATCCGCGTCTGAAATGTTTGAAACCTGACTGCCGTAAGATGACGAGTTGCTGGGGTAAGTTCTCGTTCTGATCTTATGCAGCAGAATTGGATCTGCAACCACGCGAGACTTGCTAACGTACAGACGGATTTCAGACAACGCCGTGGTCATCTGCCCTGCCTGTGGCACCTCCAGCTTCACCCGCTATTGCAGAAAGCAGCACCTGTACGATGACCTCCAGCGCCATTGGGCTATGGAATGTGGAAGGAACACGATCGCCGGACCAATCGATCGAGACACGATTCGCGCCAGACAACTCCCCAAGCGACCCTATGTTCGTGGCCAATACCATAACATTGTCGAGCGTCACAGACAGGCGGTCTACCGCGCAATGGAAGACGCAGATTACTTCATCTTCAAAGACATCGAGATGCTCGACGAGAGCATTGTGCAACCGACACAACAGCAATGGAATTCGGTGCGTGGCAGCGGCGAAGTGGCACTGCAAATCATATTCCCGGACGACATGACGCCGCAATCCGCCAAGCAGCTTTTCAACTACCACATCCAGCGCATCTTGTCGGTCGGCAAGCCGCTGGCCGAGGACAGCTGTATGAGGGCCTTGGAGATGATCCGTTCGGCGCTGGTCATGTCGGGGGGCTGGACTGAGGAGGCATTGACCTACCTGTGTATGCAATTGATAGGTGAATGGGGTGATTTCAAGGTGCCAGAGCGCTTTTACAACGTGGAGGTGAACACGATGTGGGAAACGCATTACCTACCGCCCATGGCGTGAACCGCTAGCGGGTGGACAAGAGATGATAGTTTCGCGACAGCGAGTGGAGCGGGAGTATGACATAGACACAGAGAGAGGTTGGGATAGAAGATGAAGACGAAGATGAAAATGGCGGCCAAGTCGCCCATCGTACGAGTCTGTTGCGTATTGTCGCCCTCCTCCGAGCCATCTTACCAGCTTTGTTCAGGTAACCACCGTCGTCTCTGCCACAGTCTTTTGCAATATTGGTTCTGTTGTGCATTGCGGACCCTCTTCTCTTTATGGATTGGCTCAAGGCAAAACCATTGCCGAGGGCTCTTTTGTCATAAGCAGATGTCTGGTCATCTGGACCATGCCCTGTTCTGGAGCCAGGGCAGAAGTGCTGTAGGTTGGTAGCGTTGACATCGGAGCTCGCCGCTCCCCCATCCCCTCGAGAAGGAGGGGTGACCGGCCCAGCAAGCCAGGTCGACTTGGTCTACTCCGAAGGTACATTTCCACTGCGTTCATTCGCTCCAGGACTGGATTCCATCTCACAACACTGATCAACGTCAGCCACCAGGAGCTGTTCTTACGAGATTGCAATGGTCGCCCGCTGATTCGCGCATTCTCGCCCATCGCGCTCCATTGCCTATCAATACCGTGCCATGAAAACAAATTGCTTCTGCTCTGGTCAGAACCTTCAGGCCGTCGCCGATAAGGGCCTGGTAGTCTCCAAGGTGTCTGTCTGTTCGGCCTCCTCAGCTTCATTTCTTCGTCGGACAGACTCCGTACGACTTTGAACCTGTCCCTGAATCTTCTGACTGTCTTCGTTTACCTCACAAGCATTAAAAAAATCTCAGACTTGGAATGCTAACTTGACAGAACTACCTCCTCTTTCTTTGCCTTTCCTCTCTTCACAGTGTCCCGCCAGCCCCGCATATTCAAGATGGCTCCTGGAGTCCTCGAGCCAGCAGCGACTGCTGAAAAGGTGGTTTCCCTCGCCTCCCTCACCGAAAGCTACGATGATACACTCCGCTTCTACCTCAATGGGACAAAGGTCGAGCTGGACTCGTTGGATCCAGAAATCACACTATTGGAATATTTAAGAGGCGTTGGTTTGACGGGAACAAAGCTGGGCTGTGCAGAAGGTGGTTGTGGCGCCTGCACCGTCGTCGTGTCGCAATTGAATCCCACCACGAACAAGATATACCATGCGTCGGTCAATGCCTGTCTGGCTCCTCTGGCCAGCGTTGACGGCAAGCATGTCATCACCATCGAGGGAATCGGCAGCTCGAAAAGCCCACATCCCGCACAACAACGAATTGCCATGGCTAGTGGGAGCCAGTGCGGATTCTGCACGCCAGGAATAGTCATGAGCTTGTATGCTTTGCTTAGAAACTCCGGCCCTGAGCCATCCGAAGTGGAAATTGAGGAGAACTTTGACGGAAATCTGTGTCGTTGCACGGGTTACAGGCCCATACTCGACGCCGCTCAGAGCTTCAACAAGGTGTGTGGCAAATCGATTGCAAATGGTGGTTCCGGCTGTTGCATGGATAACGGCGGCTCGTGCAATGGCGCCCCTAATGGTGAGACGAATGACATGGACGGTACGGTCGAGAAGAAGTTCATCCCTCCGTCTTTCATCCATTACGACAAGGCGACAGAATTAATATACCCTCCAGCTCTGAAGAAGCACGAGTTCAAGCCTCTGGCTTTCGGCAACAAGAGGAAGAAATGGTATAGGCCTGTGACCCTCCAACAGTTGCTTGAAATCAAGAATGCCCATCCGGGCGCCAAGTTGATTGGCGGCAGCACAGAAACCCAGATCGAGATCAAGTTCAAGGCGGCGCAGTATTCGGTGTCAGTGTACGTGGGGGATATTGCGGAACTTCGACAGTACTCTTTCTACGATGACTATCTTGAGATTGGAGGCAATGTTGCCTTGACGGATTTGGAAAACATATGTGATGAAGCTGTCAAGCATTATGGACCAACCAAGGCTCAACCATTCGAAGCTATCAAGAAAGCCATCAGGTATTTTGCGGGTCGGCAAATCCGCAATGTTGGCACTCCCGCAGGGAATCTAGCCACGGCGTCACCTATTTCCGATCTCAATCCAGTTTTCGTCGCAACAAACTCGACTCTGATTGCCAAATCTCTCAACAAGACGACAGAGATTCCGATGTCGAGCTTCTTCAAGAGCTACAGGGTAACAGCGTTGCCTGCAGACGCTGTCATCGCTGCAATGAGGATTCCTCTTACCGCTGAGAAAGGCGAGTATGTCAGATCTTACAAGCAATCGAAGAGAAAAGACGATGATATCGCCATTGTCAATGCATGTCTTCGAGTTGCGCTGGACAACGACTACAAAGTGAAGAATGCGAACTTGGTATATGGAGGCATGGCTCCCATCACAATCGAGGCCAAGCAGGCTTCTGAATATATCGTGGGCAAAACATTTACAGATCCTCAGACTCTAGAAGGAGTGATGAACGCATTGGAGCATGACTTCAATCTTCCGTTTGGTGTGCCAGGAGGCATGGCCTGGTACCGAAAATCATTGGCACTCGGGTTCTTCTATCGCTTCTACCAGGATGTCCTGCTCAACATCGAGGAATCTAGCAAAGAGGCCGACAAAGAAGCTATTGAGGAGATCGAAAGGGAAATCTCTACTGGCCAAAAGGATCATGATGCTTCCGTTGCTTACTCGCAGAAAATTCTCGGGAAGGAACATCCCCACATGGCCGCGCTGAAACAATGCACTGGCGAGGCCCAATATACGGACGATATTCCAGTACAAATGAACGAACTTATTGGCTGTCTAGTTTTATCAACCAAAGCGCATGCCAAGTTGATCGGTGTTGATCCCAGCCCTGCTCTTCAGCTTCCCGGCGTGGTCGCCTGGGTGGACAGACATGACTTTCCAGATCCAAAAGCGAACTGGTGGGGTGCTCCTGTTTGCGATGAAGTTTTCTTTGCGGAAGATGAAGTCTTTACGGCTGGCCAACCTATTGGCATGATCCTGGCGAACACTTCCCAGCAAGCTGCTGCCGGTGCACGTGCCGTTCTCATCCAGTACGAAGAGCTACCGGCCATATACACCATTGAAGAGGCCATAGAGAATCAAAGCTTTTATGAGCACTACAGATATATCCGCAGAGGTGATGTTGAAAAGGCCTTTGGAGAGTGTGACTACGTGTTCGAAGGCACGTCGAGGATGGGTGGTCAGGAGCATTTCTATCTGGAAACTCAGGCGGCTTTGGCAATTCCCAAGCCAGAGGACGGGGAGATGGAAATTTGGAGCAGTACGCAGAACCCATCAGAAACACAAGCGTACATTGCAAAGGCTCTCGGTGTTCAATCAAATAAGATTGTCTCCAAGGTGAAACGTCTTGGTGGTGGATTTGGCGGTAAAGAGACTCGATCTGTTCAACTCTCCACCATCTGCGCCGTTGCAGCAAACAAAGTCAAGCGACCGGTTAGATGCATGCTCAATAGGGACGAGGATATTATGACCTCCGGACAGAGACATCCTTTCCTGGGCATTTGGAAGGTCGGAGTCAACAAGGACGGCAAAATCCAGGCCCTCAAAGCCAATATCTTCAACAATGCTGGCTGGTCTCAAGATCTGTCTGCTGCCGTTGTTGATCGAGCGTTATCACATGTTGACGGGTGCTATAACATCCCCAATGTCGATGTGGACGGACGTCTCTGCAGGACAAATACCGTCTCCAATAGTGCTTTTCGTGGTTTTGGTGGCCCTCAAGGCATGTTTATTGCCGAATCATACATGGAGGAAATTGCAGATCATCTGAAGATCCCCGTCGACAAGCTCAGAGAAATCAATTTCTACAAAGACGGCGAAAAAACACACTTCAACCAAGCGCTCGAGGATTGGCATGTGCCTTTGATGTACAAGCAGATCAAAGAGTCAGCAGACTACGACGCACGCCGCAAAGCGGTCGATGAATTCAACGCCTCACACAAATGGCAAAAGAAGGGGCTGGCCATCATCCCCACAAAATTCGGCATTTCGTTCACTGCCCTCTTCCTTAATCAAGCCGGTGCCCTCGTCCACATCTATCATGACGGTTCCGTCCTAGTCGCCCATGGGGGTACCGAAATGGGCCAAGGGCTACACACCAAGATCTGTATGATCGTGGCCGAAGCACTCCAGGTACCTCTCACAGACGTGCACATCTCAGAAACCGCGACAAACACTGTCGCGAACGCCTCAAGCACGGCGGCATCCGCTTCGTCAGACCTGAATGGTTACGCTGCATACAACGCCTGCATGCAGATCAACGAGCGCCTCGCACCGTATCGAGAAAAATTTGGGCCCTCTGCACCGATGAAACAGTTAGCTCATGCTGCCTACTTTGATCGTGTCAATCTCTCGGCGCAGGGCTTCTATAAGACCCCCGAGATCGGGTATATTTGGGGACCCAACCCTTCTGACCCAAGCCAGGAGAATACGGGCAAGATGTTCTTCTACTTCACGCAGGGTGTAACTGCAAGTGAAGTCCTTATCGATACATTAACCGGGGATTGGACCTGTCTGCGCTCGGACATCAAGATGGACGTCGGGCGGAGCATTAACCCAGCAATCGACTACGGGCAGATCGAAGGCGCATATGTCCAAGGCCAAGGCCTTTTCACCACCGAGGAATCCCTTTGGCACAGGGCGAGCGGGCAAATTTTCACCCGCGGACCGGGCGCGTACAAGATACCTGGATTCAGAGATATTCCTCAAATCATGAACGTTTCTCTGCTGAAGGATGTTGAATGGAAAAACCTCCGCACGATCCAGCGCTCGCGGGGCGTAGGGGAGCCGCCCCTATTTATGGGAAGCGCAGTCTTCTTCGCAATAAGAGATGCCCTTAAGGCTGCGAGGAAACAATATGGCGAGGAAGATGTGCTGAGCTTGAGGAGTCCTGCCACGCCCGAGAGGATCCGGATTTCTTGTGCAGACCCGATTCTGAAGAGGTGCATGGTCGAGCCTAGGGAAGGCGAGAAGAGTTTTTTCATCTCGATTTGAGACG